AATGTGCACCACATGCGACAGCCCCATGGGTAGTCTCGTATAGCAAGGACACACCGAGGACCATTCATGTAGTCTCGCGCGCATGTCCTCCTCCAGTAGTGACCAGACCGCTGCTGCTGGAATCGCTGGCGTAGCCATCCATGCCCACAACCACTCTGGAAGCGCGACTGACGAGAAGGCGTTACTCTCATCACATCTGGCCATGTGCAAGTCCATCCCTGGCTCGCGCATTAGTGCGAGCGCCCCTCCACCTCCGAGTCCGTAGTCGCCTCTCCGACGCACGTCGCTCCAGAGGTAGTTGGTCGGCACCGCAATGATGAGCTTCCGTAACTTGTATCCATCTTTCTTCAGCACCGCCGAGACTCCATTGATTGTTTTCGCCTCGCTTCTCTCCTTGAAGACCCACAGCCCTGGAGGAATGTCTTCCCGGTGCAGGTACTCGATCCACTGCTCCATCTGTCTTCCGAAGAACCCGAATTGCCTCTCGAGCTCCTCCACGTGCTGGGTGGTCTTCCCCTCCAGCTCGATAACATTCTCCTCCGTGCTGTAGTAACGAGCCTCATCTCGAGGGAGCGCCTCGAGCAGGGGAACATTCTTCGTCGATGTAACCTCGTCCACCCTGCGAGCAATAAACTCAACGTGGACGTCCCTCTTGTGCACTCTCCTGTAGCCGATCTGATCCATCTTGAGAAGCTCGCACGTCGATCGTACGCCTGTCGCTGGGTGCAGCCGGCGAACGTGGAGCTGGCCCTTGGCGTGCTGTATCGCCCGCCTCTGGACCTGCCCTACAGCAGAATCCTCCAACTCACTGCAAAACTTCTGCTGCATCAGTGCGGTCTGGCGCTTCATAGATCCAGTGTAGGTCGCACTGAATGCTCCCAAGAACCGATTGGTCACCTCTCGTGCCTCCTGCTTCCGTCTGAGTCGTTGTCGAAGCCGCCCTGAACGAATTCCCACTCGAGCTGGTCGAGGGAGAAGAGGGACAGGCAGCACGGCCTGACCACTCTGCAAGGCGGACGCCACTTCCGAGAGAGCTGGGAACCCAACATGTGAACATACCACCTCCTCATCACTCGGCTTCTTCCCTTGAACTCGCCATCGGTCCTTCACCAGGTACTGCCGCTGCCCACGAGGGGCTCCGGGCACCCCCCTGCCCCGCGGCTCAGGACAGGGGGGAAGGGGCGGCCGTCAGGCCGCGTCCCCTCTCTTCTTCGGGCCGCGTCCGCGGCCACCTCCCTTGTTACCTCGATCTCCTTTGGCCGCGGACCTCCGTCATAGTTCCGCCGATACACGTTCAGCTCGCTGGTGCTCCATCTTGCTGTGGGAGGTCGCCTCCATAATGAGCCAGCCTGGCGCGATGTCCAGCCCACTGCCTGGGGCTGCGACAGCCCGCAATCTAGCCGCGCCCACCTTGTCATGAGTCCTGGACTCGTACACATACGCTGAGAGGTGGCGCAAGGAGATCTCCACATTGTCATTTGTCGTCAGCACCATCATGAGCTCCTGGTCGGTGGCGCACCTGCCTAGCTCGAAGTCCAGAGTCGACGCCACTGACCACAGCCCCTGCCATTGATCTCCACCACGATATCTCTGGAACTGCTGCTGCAACCAATGCCGTACACCAGTGCTCCATGCCGCCCTGATGTTCCTATAGATCTCGACACCAGCTCGCTTGAAATCGGGCGGCAGGGCGTGGGCCCACGCATCCTCCTCGGCACCTCCAGGAGCGGCCGCTGGGCCGCCAAAGCCTTCCGTCGAAGCCACTGGACACACCGAGGCTCTCGAAGCCCGACAGCACTGTCTCCAACATCTTCGGGTCTGGGGGCGAGCGCGTGCCTGGGCCCACATAGCCCCTGGCCACAAGAGCCGCGCGTACAGACGGATCTGGACGTCCTGCTTGCTCCATACCCGCCACCGCCTGCCAGAATTGTTGTCCCCACCACGGGTTGGTACTGGCACCTGCATGCATCTTCAGGAGCATCTCCTTCAGTTGTGAAGCGCTAGCGCCAGCGGTCTCTGAAGCCGGTCGCCCTGGCCGCCCAGGGCCCACGGCACCCATGCCCCCCATCGGAGGGGCATTCGCTTGGGGGGCCAAGGGCGGCCTTGCATTGGGCGCAGCTCCCGTCCAAGAGAAGGGGCCCGCGTCCTGCACGCCGAGCCTGAACGCGTGGAACGCCTCCATGGACGGGTCCGCCGCTCCAGCAGGCGCGCTCGGCGCTTGTGGATCAGCCAGCCCAGGCGGCGGGGCCGCAGGCGGGGGGAGGGGCAGCAGCGAGGGGGTCGCAGCGACTTCTGTGTGCTCCCTCGCGCCGCCGCTGGCCTCCCCCTCCAGGCGCATCTGTTCCAGCTGAGCCCTCAGCGTCTCGACCTCATCCTGGCTGCCACGCTGGGAACTCCACCACTCCCGAATGCAGCGGATGAGGCTCCACAACAGCGCGACAAGGATCGTGAAGCCTCCGAGCCCCAGGCGCACCACGCTGCCTCGGCCCGTCTCAGCGCTGAGTGCTAGGCAAGCGATCAGGCAGCCCACGAGCTCGACAGCGCGTGGGCCTAACCAGCGAATGAGGCCGATCACCCAGCTTGTCTCGGAGCTCTCGGCTGCGCCAGGATCCGAGCGAGGAGGGGCCATCAGCGGTTCTTGGGCATCGCAAGCCTTCCCTGGATGGTTACCGCGCGAATGGTCCCTCAGGCCGTCATCGCTCCGTTGACCCAGAATAGCTATGAGATAAGTGATGTTGCATGAGCTGATAGATCAGGCGCTATACATTAATACCCATTCGCAAACTCTCAGTCATACATACATACATACATGCATACACACACACATACATACATACATACATACCTACCTACCTACCGACCTAGCCCTTACCTGCATACATACATACATACATACATGCATGCATACATACATATATATATATATATATATACATATATACATTTCAGGTGCGATCCCAAAGAACGGGGCCCCACCCCAGTGAACCTTAAGAGGACCTAAGAGAGCCTTAGCCTACAGCCCTAGACGCCACACCCTAGAGGCTCTGGGCACTTGGGCCCTAGCGGCCGGGACGTGCCTGCGCGTGGCGCTGCTGAATACGAAACTCACTCAATATTTCCTGCACGGACCTCGAGAGATAACTTGTTATCATTCACTGCTGAGAAATATTCACATCTGTGTGCGGTCACGCACACCTCCCCGGCAGACTGGAATGAACGTGTGATCTGATGGATAGCCTGCGTTGAAAGAAAAGCACTCGGTCGACCTGATCTTCGCTAGGTCCGAGCGAGGGGGAGGGATGCCTGAAGGGAAACGGTAAGAACCCCCCGCTGCGTGGTGCTGACCACGGCTCGGGGGGGACGGCAGAACGAACGGGCAGCAAGTGAGACCTGTACCGAGGACCGAGGGCTGGGAGGGTGCCTTGAACTTGAAACGGTTTCGGGCGCAGGCAAGACCTGGAGACAACGTCCGAAACAACAAGACATATCCCGCCCTATGGCCCGTTCGCTAACCTATCTGAAAATCAACGTTCACAAACTCACTCACCCATTTTAGGTGCGATCCCAAAGAACGGGGCCCCACCCCAGTGAACCTGAGGAGGACCTAAGAGAGCCTTAGCCTACAGCCCTAGACGCCACACCCTCGAGGCTCTGGGCACTTGGGCCCTAGCGGCCGGGACGTGCCTGCGCGTGGCGCTGCTGAATACGAAACTCACTCAATATTTTCCTGCACGGACCTCGAGAGATAACTTGTTATCATTCACTGCTGAGAAATATTCACATCTGTGTGCGGTCACGCACACCTCCCCGGCAGACTGGAATGAACGTGTGATCTGATGGATAGCCTGCGTTGAAAGAAAAGCACTCGGTCGACCTGATCTTCGCTAGGTCCTCGCTCCACCAACCCGTACTCGCTTGCGGCCTATGCTGAGGGCTCGGGCACGCTGTGGCTGTCGCCCTCGCCCGTCTTTGTGTCCGGGGAGCCCTCGTCGGCGGCGGTCCCGTCGGCGGCGGAGGGCTCGTCCTTGGCGCCAGGCGCCGATGACGAGCGAAAGGCCCCGTTCCCGTCTCGCGGCCAAGCCCAGGCGGCTAGGCGCTTGCTCCACCTCCAGATCCTCATCGGCACTGAGGGTGGTGTGATGGCTGGAGCGTGCTGTAGGGCTGACTTGGATAGAGTGAGGTCTGGCTTGTCGATAGTCGCCTGGATAGCTTCTTGCAGCAGCTCTGAGATCCGAACCGTCTGAGTGGTAGCGTCCTCGGTCAGCGACCACAGGGGATTGGCCCAGCGTACGTTGTAGGTAACACCTGCAGTCCTCCAGGCCAAGCCCACGTGGCCCGTATCGAACCAGGCCATCCAGAGGTCCAGGGAGGTATAGGATGAGTCGTTGATGAAGAGGTGCTTGTGTACTTCCACCAGCGGGCGAGAAGGTGATGCAAAAATCAAAATATCCGCCAAAGCCTGGAGCCAGTGGTCGGGCAGTCCCATCACCGCTCGAGCCTCTGGCGTAGTCAGTACGTCCTCGGCGTACTCGTTTCCATCGAAAAAGATGCGGCCGGCGGAGCTGTTGACCGTAACATTCGTGAGGTCGATGCCTTCCCAAGCGGTCTCGGCGAGGCTGAGGGTGTTGTCGGTGAGGGCGCTGAAGATCCGTGCCGCACTCGACGACACGTTCGCACCTGCGCCCATCATGCGGCTTGCCGCCCCTCCGACCTCCTCGGCCACGTCCGAGGCGATGCTCATCGAGCGTGCGAACAGGGGGCTCCACGCCGTAGTCAGTAGCACCGCCAAGATGAGCACAGCACAGCTGCAGCCCCCGCTGCAGCTGGAAGACATCTTAGCCAATTTCCACAGGTACCACACAGAAGAAACTCGTCGGCGGGTCGGCTGCGGCCTGGGGGTCGCCCATGAGGTCGGCACTCCAGGCGCCGCCTTAGTCATTGGCGGTGTTGCCGTACCCGTCGGCGTTGGTGACGGCGTCAGCCCAAAAGGTGAAACTAAACTAGCCGGCGTAGGTGGGTAGCTCGGTAGTACCCAGGACGAGTTCCCGGTAGAGAAAGGTGATGGCGGTGGCGTGCTCGATCTGGCCGTCGGTATCGTCTCTGGTGTCGCCCATGACCCGTCAGCCAGGCGTCTGGAGCCCTTCGGTGCCATGCAACGCCCGTAGCGCACACCAGGCCCAGTGTTGGCCGGCCCAATCGCAAGCTGGGCCCCACCCAGCCGCCTTGAGCCCCACGGCTATGTGGGCAGCCTGGACCATGTCGATATATACTCGAAGGGAACTGTCCACCTTCCAACGGCATGTTTCTCGAATCTGCTCGAAGGACATACCCCGCGCTGTGGCCTCTGAAGCGAAACCTGCTCGGGCACTGTGGGGGGTCCATCCCATTGGTAGGTTACACTCCGACTGGATGCGAGCGAGCAACTTGCGGTACTTCTCGAGGGCGTAGGGGAACATGCGGCCCCCTGGGGGCGCGCGGGCCTTCAGGGTCCTCAGGAGATCCACCAATGCAGGGCTGGAGGCCTCCAGGATGGCGTTCGACTGGGGGCGCTTCGCTTTGGTGTTCGCCTTGATACCCAAGCCTACTATCAGGGGCCCTCGACCTCGACCGTGCCCAGACTCCTCGGGGAAGACGAGATCGGACGCGACGATCCCCAGCATCTCGCTGGGCCGCATCCCAATTTTTCCCTGCAACATGAGGCCGATGGCCAGGCGAGGCTCTCCGAGCGCGCTGAGCCGCGCGCTGACGAAAGCCTGAGCGGTGCTCACCATCGGCACTGTGTGCTTGGTCTGGTGCTCTAACTCCCAGCCACGCAAGGCAGCGTGGCATCTGCAAAGGCGGCCCTTCAGCCGCGGAAACTTGAATTCGATAGCGGCGAGCAGGGAGGTGAAATGACTCTTGAGCAAGTCCACTGAGGCCTTGTACTCCATGATCGTGTCGCCCCACTCGTCAGGGCTCCAGGTGTGGGCCCCCTCGGCCGCGCACCACTGGTAAAACTCCGCTGCTCGCTTGCGATAGGTTAGCAATGTCTCGGGTTGCACACGGCCCTCCAGGTGCTTGTCGTCTGGCACCCTCGGGCTCGAAAAAGTCAGTTCTGGATGATGCGCACGCTGCGCGCGTCTACTCTCGGCACCGGGGCGTTGTGCCCCTCTGAATCCTGACCACATCCTCTCATGCGTGAGAGGCCATCCGCGGGCATCCTCTCGGTCTCCACCCAGGGGAGGTGCATCCTGATCTCCGTGGCGCTCGACAACGCGCACCTCCGCCTGAGTAAGTAGTTCACGGGGCCGGCGGCCGATCGGCCTTTGGCCGCAGCGCCCGCGAAAGCCATGTTGTCCTCGAGGCTGAGGACCTTCGAGCGGTGAGCTTCCGGCAGTAGCGCCAGACGCGACAGGACCTTCAGTGCGGCCCGCCCTTCCCCCAGCACGATGTGGTCAGGCACCTTCCAGCGTCCAGACTCAACTGGGATCCAGGAGGCCTCTCCGTCGATCCAACCCCTCTCAACTGAGCTCACTGGCAGGAAAGGCTGTAGCGTATCAGGGCCACGCTCCAGCACCTTCTGCAGCTGCCCTGGCTTGGCGACGGCCACGCCAGGGCGGGTGCCAGCGTTCCACAGCTCCTCTACGATCTTCGAGTTCGCCGCGGCCACGACGACGCCGCAGCCGCCCGCGTCGAAGTCCCGCGCGCCCTCGGCGTCCGAGGCGAAGACCATCGGCAGTAGCGGGGCCCCCAGGTCGGCGTAGAGCCCCATGATGCCTCGTCGCATGGCCACGGCCTCACGACGGGCCGACGGCCACCACCGTCTCCAGCGCGGGCCCTCCTGGCGTGCGAACTGGAACAGGTGCTGAGGCGCCGACAGCCAGTGCCTGGCTAATTAGCAGCGCCGCCCAGATCCAGACCCCAATGACCGACGCCAGGTGGTCCAGGTGCACCCAGTCCCGGCTCGTGAGCAGCAGCAGCGCCTCGTGCATGAGCGCCGCCTTGCGCTTCGGGACCCGCACTCGTGCGGGGCTGGACTCCACCTCGTAGCCCACGATGCGATCCACCATGCCGTGCTCCCTCCGATCCTTCACAACAAAGCCCACGTCCTCCAGCGCGTCCGCCACCTGGTGGACCAGCTTGTTGACCTTCTTTTCGCCTGACTGCTGGGGCCCGCCGTCCGCTGCGATCAGGCCGTCGTCGATGTGGAGGTAGAAGCTCGTGTCCCTCGCGCCCAGCACTGCCCCGCGGCCTCGCGAGGACGTCTCGTTCAGGAAATAGAAGGCGCCGAGGTCCAACGGCCCCGAGTAGCACGTTATCCTTTGACACTTCACTCCGTCTCGTACGTGTCCTGTTGGCCCGCCGCCGGTCTGCGCCATCTCCGACAGCGTGGCCACTATGCCCTCTGCTATCCACCTGCACAGTCGAGGTGGGTAGGTGGCCAGCTTGGTCGTCCGAAAGTTACCGTTAACCTCACCGTAGCTCAGCTCGTGCGTGTGGGCGCCGTCGCACCTTAGTGCTTCGGTGGCCGCCAGTCGTACCGCACCTGTGACCCTCGTGGGCTTCTGCGAGGGCCCGCCCATCATGCATTGGTCAAAGATGATGTGCCGCGCTCCCGTCCTGGACTCCAAACCTTTCAAGATCTCGGTGTCGAAGATGGACGGGTACGGGTCCTCCCCGGGATCGTCTGGATGCTCGAGGGCCCAGGCTCCCCCGCGGTCCCCCACCCCGCCGCGCAGCGCCAGGTGGTTGACCATCAGGCGGTTGCCCTCGTCCAGCCGCTCCACCTCAGAAGGCCGCAGTCTCTCGCGGGGTAGCCCCCATGCGTACTTCCCTCGACGGCCCAGGGGTCGTGGTCCTCCAGGCCTGAACCTCGCTCGGCCCCAGGTCGAGCAGGGGGGGCCGCCCAGGATCACGTCCACCAGGCCCTCGGACACCAGGGACCAGATCAGCTCGAAGGTGTCGACGCGCCCGAGGTCCCACCGCGAGTCCTCGGCCAGGTCCACCGAGATCATGAGCACCTTCAGCTCCAGGTCGGTCATCATCGCCTCGACGTAGTGCTGCACGTCCTGCTCCCTCCGGGCCCCCGCGAACAGGTGCATGACCACGAAGACGCGGGTCTCCTGACGCCGTGCGTGGCGTACTGCCTCGCACCAGCTCGCCACGGAAAACCCGCTCGGGGGGGGGGGCCATCTCGTCGAAGTCGTTGGCGCTCGGCCCAGTCGTCATCCTTCAGCATCTGGTATCCGGCCTGCCACGCCAGAGTGTGATCCTGCTGCGGGTCTACCAAGCTGCGCCTCAGCGTCATGGAGCATATCCTCGAATTGATGGACATCAGGATGTGTACGCTGTGGGAGCTGCCCATGACTAAACGGCGCCACATCGGATAGACCCAGCTCTCAGGATTCAAAGAGTCTCGCTGGCTGGGCGACAGACGCCACCAGACGGCGGCCGCCCTCACGGGTGGCACGCACTGCCAGCCCCACATCCAGCTCGGAACCCCCACGAAAGAGAAGGCGTTGCTCTCGTCGAACGCCGCGGCCGCCCAGTCGCCCGACGGGACGTGCAGGCTGGCCAAGGCACCTCCTCCGTGTAGTCCGTGTTCGGCTCGACCTCCCACGTCCTGAAACATATAGTTAGCCGCCACCATCATGATGATCTTACGTTGACGCCCACTGGTCTTCTTGCCCACCGTGCTGAAGCCCGCGATGGCCTTCACCTCCTGCGGGCCGCCGAAGTGCCACAGGTTGGGCGGCATGTCCTGGCGGCTGAAATACTTCTCGTACTCCTCCTGAGTACCTCCAACGAAACCGAACTTGGCCTGTAGCTCCTCGAAGATCGCGCGGCTGCGCAGCTCCGTCGGGGCCACCACGAGACTCTCGTCGCTGTAGTACCTGGCCTCCTCCGGCTCGAGCACCTCGAGCATGTTCACACTCTTCACTACTTGCGGCTCATCAATGTCCTCCGCTCTCAGGGCCTCATGGGTCGACAGGCGAGTAGGCCGACCATAGCCCACCTCCTCCACGCGAGCTAACTCCAGTACCGCGGGGACGCCTGTCAGACCGCAGTCCCGGCGCGCCTCTGCCAGCCGTTTAGCTTCTCGTAGAACTACCTTATGCACCTGGCCGTGCAGCCCCCGCATGTTCATCGACAAGCTCTCCTTACGGCGGGGGCGGGTGAGGTCCGTGCACGAGCCCGTGTCCATGGAGTTGATCCCTTGCACGAACTCGTTGGCGAGAGCCCACAGGGCGAGCTTCCGCTTGAATCGATGTCGAAGTCGACTAGATCGGCTCGTCATCGGGGTTGGGCGATCCACCAGCGTGATGGGGAAGAACGCCTCCTGTCCCGGCTGGGCCGAGATCACCTGCTGCAGCGAGGGGTGCAGATCGTCACGCACTCTGGGCACCCACTGCGCTGGCGGGCTCCGCGCCCCGACGGCAGGCTCGTCAGGGCGCGCCGCGAGCCCCTATTCATGCTTGGAGTCGGCGGCCTTGCCGCCACGGCCTCCCCCTCGACCACCTCCACGACCGTCGCCTCGACCTCCGCCCTTGTCGTTCTTGCGCCTGTGGCGCGCCTCAGCCTCGACTCTCTCCCTGCGCTGGTGCTCGATCTTCGAGTGCATCGTCGCCGAGGCCACCATCCACGTCGGGGCCACGTCGGCTGAGCCGCCAGGCGGTGCGATGCCCAACATGTGCTGGGCGCCGACGCGGTCCCCACTCCGCTGCTCGTACACGTATGCCGCGAGGCGGCGGAGGCCGATCTCCATCATGTCGCCCTTGGCTAGCACCTGCATGATCTCCAGGTCGCTGCCGCAGTCGCGGAGGCGGAAGTCGACCGACGTGGCCAGCGTCCACAGGTCGACCCACACCGGACTGGTTCGACTCCCCTGGTAGCGCTGGGCGATCCAGTCGCGGGCGCTCGTCGACCCTTCGCCCCGCATCGCCCTGTAGATCTCGGGGGCCGCCCGCTGGAGGTCCGCTGGCAACGAGGAGCCCCATCGCGTCTCCTCTGAGCCTCCTGCCGCAGCGGCCAAGCCCTGGCTGGGGGTGGACTGCCAGATGCCTGCGCCAGCGGTCAGTGCGGCCTCCGACGCGAGGCGGTCCAGCGCGGCCCCGAGCTCCTCATGGCGGGGGGCCGTCACCGTCTGCTCGCCCACGTAGCCGAAACCCGTCAGGAGACGCTTCACTTCGGGCACCAGCTGCCCGCTCGAATCCATCGCGTACAGGTTGGACCAGAAGCGTCGTCCCCACATGTAGTCCTGGCCCCTGGCGTTCGCGAGCGCTGTCAGGAGCTCCTTCACTTGCTTGGCCTGCTGGCGGACCTTGCTGTCCAGCTCGGGCGGCCTGTACTGAGGGACGTGCGGCGAGCCCCCAGCCCCAGCTGTGGCGCCAGCACCCGTGGCGGGTGGGGCAGCCATGCCAGCCCACGCGCCTAGCGCGTCCAGGCTCGAGGCGCCCGCGGGCGCGTGGCTGGCCTGACCCGCTGGAGGACCGATGGGTCCTGTGGCCGGCCCCGCCACCGTCACGCCCGGCACCTGCGGGATCCCTGGCGGCGGCGCCCCCACGTCGGCCCACCCGGGCATGACCTCGTCAGGCGGACCGCCGCCAGGGAAACCTCCTCCTGGCATGCCCATCGCTCCCGACAGGGCCAGCTGCTGCATCTGAGCCGTGAGGGCGGCCATCTGCGTCTTCGTCGTCTCCTGGTCGCAGTAGAGCCACCACGCCTGGCGCACGACCCTCGCTGTGGCGAGGAGGCCCACCAGCCCGAATACGGTGAGTCCCGCCAGGCGGGCCCGTCCTGTCGAGCCCAGCTGGGCAGCCAGGGCTCCTCCTCCGCCTGCCAGGGCGAGGAGTCCCCACGCCGCCGCGAGCCACCAGCTGCCTTGGTTCACGTCGGCGGCGGAGCTCTCGGGGGCCGGCGGCGGCGGTTCGCCTGCTGTGGTGGCGTCCAGTCCCGGCGGCGCAGCCGCCGCGGCCGAGTCGGCCCCCAGCGTCATGGCGGGCACTTCTGGTGTCTGGTGGAACACAGCGGCACCCCTCGGGTGCCGCGGAGAGACCTGCAAGAGGGTGCCCGCGGAGGCACCTCGAAACTCTGTCAGTGAGTCATGGTGCCTTGAACTTGAAACGGTTTCGGGCGCAGGCAAGACCTGGAGACAACGTCCGAAACAACAAGACATATCCCGCCCTATGGCCCCTTCGCTAACCTATATGAAAATCAACGTTCACAAACTCACTCACCCATACATACATACATACATACATACATACATGCATACATACATATACACACGTGCATACATACATACATACATACATACATACATACATACATACATACATACATACATACATACATACATACATACATATATATACATGTATACATATATACATGTATACATATATACATACATACATGCATGCATGCATGCATGCATGCATACATACATACATACATACATGCATACATATACATGTACATATGTGCATGCATACATACATACACACATACATACCTACATACATGCATGCATGCATGCATGCATGCATACATACATACATACGTACAATCGTACATGCATACGTACATACATGCATGCATGCATACATACATACATGGCTGTCTGCCTGCCTGCCTGCCTGCCTGCATGCATGCATGCATGCATACATACATGCACACATACATACATGCATGCATGCATGCAGACAGACAGGCAGACAGGCAGACAGGCAGATCGGCAGACTGGCAGACTGGCAGACTGGCAAACTGGCAGACAGACAGACAGACAGACGGACGGACGGACGGACAGACAGACAGACAGACAGACATACAGACAGACAAACAGACAGACATGCATACATGCATGCATGCAGAGACAGACAGGCAGGCAGACAGGCAGACAGGCAGATCGGCAGACTGGCAGACTGGCAGACTGGCAGACTGGCAGACAGACAGACAGACAGACAGACGGACAGACAGACAGACAGACAGACAGACAGACGGACAGACAGACATGCATTCATGCATGCATGAAAGCATGCATACATACACACGTACATATACAGTGTGTATACAGATATCTCTATATATAGATATATGAGCAGGCAGGCCTGGAGGGGGGGGGGGGGGGGGGCAAAACCGGCGCAATGATGTCGCATGGGGGGCCCAACGGGCGTCCACACGGCAAAAGGCCCTTCAAGGGAACCCTGAGGCCACTAAAAGGGGCCCTCAAGGGGGTCAGAAAGCACCACAGCGCTCCCAGCACGCCGATCATTGTTTCGAGACTGCTGACGTGGCCTCCACGACGCCCCAAGAGAACTTCCAGCTGATCCCTGGGAGAGGCCCCAGCGGCGAAAATCATTGATTTCCCGCCTGCTCCCCTGCCCAGCGCACGGAGACGGCATCAGAAGCCCCTAAGAGGGCCCCAAGACACCCCAAGAGGGCGCCAAGACGGCCCAAGAGGCCCCTGAAATCGCGCCAAAGGGCTCCAGGCGGCTCCCCAAATGATCTCGGACACGCCTCGAGTACCCTAAATGAGGCCCACAGGGCCCCAAAATGGCCCCAGCACGCCCACCATCGCTCCGATGCGGGCTCAGGTGGCTTCCTGGGCGCACCAAGAGAGCTTCGAGCTGATCCCCGAGAGGGACTCCAGGAGCGAAAATCATTGATTGACCCTGGTTTTCTCACGGAGTTTTGCGTGGTTGTTTGGTCCGCTTCCTGACGCGCGACGACGGCACAAGAGGTGCCCAGCAGGGCTCCATGTGGCTCCCCAAACGATAGAAGACGCCACAAAGGTCCTCAAGGAGGCCCACGGGGCTCCAAAACGCTCCCAGCACGCCCACCATCGCTCCGATGCGACCCACGAGGCATCCAAGACGGCCCAGGAGGGCTCGAAGCTGTTTCCCGAAACAGCCCCAATCGGCAAAAACATTGATTTTCGCGTGGTCGCCTGCTCCGCTTGCCGACTCTCGGAGACGGCACACGAGGTGCGCGCGAGGGCCCAAGCGCGCCCAAAGGCGGCAGCAAACCAGTCCAAGAGGCGCCCAAGAATGCGCAGGAGCGCTGCAGGCGGCTTCTCAAGTCAACCTGGACAGGGCTCCACAAGGGCTCCAGCACGCCCAAAGCTTCATGCGCCCTCCGAGAGCGCCGCAATGAGGAGAAATCAGTGATGTTCTATCGGTTTCGATGCTTTGTAATTGGCCGTCTGCTCCGCTTCCCGACGCGCGGGGACGGCCCAAAAGGCATCCACGCGAGAGCCCCTGCACACCGCAAGAAGGCTCACTTCGAGCCTCGACCCTCCAAAAAGGAGGAGCCCCAAAAGGCTGCCCAAGTCGGCCTCGACACCCCGACAGTGCCCCCCAGAGGCCTTCACGATGGCCCCCACGGCCGCACCCATCAGATTCTGGAGAGCCTTCTGGGAACGTGACTCTCGTCGCCCGCCATCGGGCCGGGAGGTTCTCCAGAATTTCAAATGAGCTTCGACACACCGGCAGAGGCTCACAGAAGCCTCCACGAGGGCTTCCACAAGGGCGCGCTTTCAGGTTCCCGGAGAGCATTCCGTGAACCTTCTCGTCGTCGCCCGTCATCGGGACAGGAAGTTCTCCAGTATTTCCTTGTGTTGCCCTTCAGAACCCTCCAAGGCAATGATCTTGGCAACCAGTCCGAGAAAGACGGTGCGAGGAGGAGGAGGAGGACACAGCCCGAGAGAGACAGTGCTAGGAGGAGGATACCTGGCCAGTCGAGTCGCATCTTCTGGTAATTATCCTGGAGCCTCTCTTCTCGCATCCTGGGGTTCGTATCTCTTCACCGCGATTCTGGAGTCAACTAGAAACCCCAAGATGGCGCCAAGACGGCCCAAGAGGCGCCCAAAATCGCCCCAGAGGGCTCCGGGTTGCCCCCCAAATGAGCTCGGACACGCCTCCAGGGCCCGAAGACGGCCCAAGCACGCCCACCACTGCTCCGATGCGGGCTCAGGTAGCCTCCTGGGCGCACCAATGGAGCTTCGAGCTGATCCCCGAGAGGGGCTCCAGGGGCGAAAATCATTGATTTCACGCGGGGTGTCGCTTGCTCCGCTACTCGACGCGCGGAGACGGCACAAGAGGCGCCCAACAGGACTCCAAGACACCCCAAGCGGGCGCCGAGGCGAACAGAATCGCCCAAGCGGGCTCCAGGTGGCTCCCGAATGAGCTTGGACACGCCACAGGGGCCCTAAACCAGGCTCACAGGGCTCCCCAGCACGCCCATCATCGCTCCGATGCGGCCTACGAGGCATCCAATACGCAAAACACACACACTGATTTGTGATAGGTTGTTTATTGATTTGAGCGTGGTCGCCTGCTCCGCTTCCCGACGCTAAGGGACGGCAGCGCGGGTTGTTTCAAGGATTCATGAGGTCGCTTGCTCCGCTAATCGACGCGCGGAGACGGCACAGGTCGCCCCGCTGGCCACGCGCGAGGGCGGGTCTTCGGGGGCCCATCTCGACGTGTTCCCCCGCTCTCTCCCTCGCACGCCGACGAGGAGGAGGAGGAAGAAGAGAAGGACGAGAAGGAGGAGGAGGAGGAGGAGGAGGAGGGGGAGGAGGAGGAGGAGGAGGAGGAGGAGGAGTAGGAGGAGGAGGAGAGAGGAGGAGGAGGAGGAGGAGGAGGAGGAGGAGGAGGAGGAGGAGGAGAGGAGGAGGAGGAGAGGAGGGGGAGGAGGGGGAGGAGGGGGAGGAGGGGGAGGAGGAGAAGGAGGAGAGGAGGAGGAGGAGGAGGAGGGGCAGGAGGAGGAGGAGGAGGAGGAGGAGGAGGAGGAAAGAGGGGGACGGGGGAGGACGAGGAGGAGGAGGAGGAGGAGGAGGAGGGAAAGGAGGAGGAAAAGGAACGCCGTTGCCAATGGTGAGAGGGAAGCTGGAGCTCGGAGCGCACGGGCAAGGCGAGCTGGCCGTGGCGTGTTCCCCCGCCCTCTCCTCGCACGCCGAGGTGGAGGAGGAGGAGGAGGAGGACGAGGACGAGGACGAGGAGGAGGAGGAGGCGGAGGAGGAGGAGGAGGAGGAGGAGGGCGAGGAGGAGGGAGATGAGGAGGAGGAGGAGGAGGATAAGGAGGACGAGGAGGAGGAGAGGGGGAGGAGGAGGAGGAGGAGGAGGAGGGGAGGAGGAGAGGAGGAGGGGGAGGAAGGGCCCGAGGGGGGAGGAGGAGGGGAGGAGGAGGAGAGGAGGAGGAGGAGGAGGAGGAGGAGGAGGAGGAGGGAAAGGAACAGGGAAAGGAACAGGAAAAGGGAAAGGACAAGGGAAAGGAAAAGGACAAAGGAACGCTTTTGCCAATGGTGAGAGGGAAGCTGGAGCTCGGTGCGAATTGGCACGGCGAGCTGGCCGTGGCCGAATCTTCAGAGGTGCCCAGAGAAGTTTCTTGTTTGGGGGATCATGGAAGGATGTTTTTTGTAATGATCTCCTGCACCGTGGCCTGTCTACCATGGTGGAGCAAGCAGGAGCTGGGTTGGGCACGTCGCTCTCGTCCCTGCTCTTCCCCCTTTCTCCTCCTTCACGTGGCACCTTGAGCGCAGGCGGTTTATTTGGTTCTCTCGTAAGTATTACTAAGTGCAGCCAGTTCGGTGACCTCGGCTTGATGTGGGTGTGTGCATATAAGGAAAAAGAGAAGACACATGCAAAGGAGGAGGGGTAGGATAAACAAACAGAGGAGGAGGAAGAGGAGGAGGAGGAGAAGGAAGAGAAGGAGGAAGAGGAGGAGGAGGAAAAGGAGGAGGAGGAGGAGGAGGAGGAGAAGACACCCCGAGGGGGCCCAGCGAGGAGCCACCGCTCCCCAGCCGAGGGTTCCCGCGCGGCACGGCGCTGCCCGCCGCCTCTCAGGGACCGAGCCGTTCGGGCTCCTTGGCGACCCCGCGCGCGCGGAGGCGGGGCCCCGTGTGGCGACGGACCGCGCGGTACCCTCGACAGCGCCAGAGACCTCATCGCGCGATCCGGCGCCACACGCCCTTGGGGACCTCGGAAGCATCAGTCGCCCGGAGGCGTCTTCGGATAACGGCCCACGGCCCACAGCCGCGCAGAGATCCCGAGTCTCCAGTGACTCACCACGCGGTGTGTCGCACCGTTGGGGCCCCCCCCGGCGCCGCGGCCTGGATCGGCCGCCCGATGCGTGAGCTGCGCGCGGCGCCGTGCGCGCTCGCGCTGTTGGCGGTCGCGGGCCGCGGGCAGTCGGACCTCCCGCGGTACCCCAGAGCCCCTTCCTCCCTCCTCGCCCTCCCACCTTCCTCCCCCTTCCTCCTTTCTCCTCGTCCCCCTCCTTCCTCCTCCTCCTCCCCGCCCACTCGACGCTGCGGCGTTAGAGCGAGACTCCCCTGGCTTGCGCAATGGACAAAGAAATAGGCACGAGCTGCCTGCGGCGGATCGGCTTGCATTGTATATCTATACGACCACCCTTCGGGTGATAAGGAGGTTCGGGGGGGGGGAGGAACCAACGTCTCACTCGATCGGTCTCACAATCGATCTCACTATCGATCTCAGTATCGGTCTCGCTCGATCGATCTCCCTCGATCGATCTCACAATCGATCTCACTCGATCTATCTCACAATTGTTCTGACTATCGATCTCACAATCGATCTCACATTCGGTCTCACTATCGATATCACAATCGATCTCACAATCGACGTCATCATCATCATCATCATCATCATCATCATCATCATCATCAACAGCATCAACATCAACATCATCATCATCATCATCATCATCATCATCATCATCATCATCATCACCATCATCATCATCATCCATCATCCATCATCATCACCATCATCATCATCATCCATCATCACCATCATCATCATCATCATCATCATCATCATCATCATCATAACATCCACATCATCATCGGGACACCGACGGGACACCGACGGGACACCGACGGGACACCGGCGGGACACCGCGCGCCACCGGCCGCCCGGAAGAGACACATTTGGTCCGGCCGTGCCTCCAGGGACACCGACGGGACACCGACGGGACACCGGCGGGACACCGCGCGCCACCGGCCGCCCGGAAGAGACACATTTGGTCCAGCCGCGCCTCAGCCACAGGGACACCGACGGGACACCAGCGGGACACCGGCGGGACACCGCGCGCCACCAGCCGCCCAGAAGAGACACATTTGGTCCAGCCGCGCCTCAGCCAAGGAGACTTTCCTCTCGCCCGCCCACGCAGTTTCGCCTCGCCCGCGCGCACGGCACGCACGAACACGAAACCGAAGTCGATTTCCCGGTAGGGGGGCTCTCCGTTCCACTTCGATCTCACCCCCTCACCTCCGACTACGCCGTCGAAAGCAAGCGCGGCCACCTGTCCTCATCCTTCCTCCTCCTCCTCCTCCTCCTCCTCCTCCTCCTCCTCCTCCTCCTCCTCCTCCTCCTCCTCTTTCCCCGTAGCCATTTTTAGCTCAAGCCATTTTGGCTCAAGTAAAACATTTATCCAGCCAGCTGGGCAGGCAGCATCCGACCCGCTCCAGCCACAGACGGCGGCCCCGCCAGGCTGAGAGCAGTTCTTTTCACTATATACTTCCATTTCCCTCCTCCCCAGGCGCAGGAGGGCTGCGCAGTATTTTTCTTATCGCTCCCAGCAGTTCAGCCATGGGAGTCAACGGTGGACGTACGCCGAGCCGCAGCGTGAGTCGACCGATACAGGAAGCTCGGATGAACAAGGACAAGAAGAAACATCGTCGTTCATCTTCCAGTCGTTCAGCAAGCAGGAGCAGTATGGACAGTGCCAATCTTTCATCTCGTCGCTCACGCCGATTAAGCAGTTCTGGAAGCTCGAACATGTTCAGATCGCCATCGCCGAAGAAGAATGAGAATTCTAAGAAAGATAAGCACCGTTCATCAGGGGACAATGAAATCCTCCAGAACATGCGCATGATGATGTCCGAGTACCAAGGGCCGGACATCAATAAGTTGGATGAGCCGGCCGGTGCCATTCAATTGCAGCTCGCAGGCCACACGCAGCGGATCGCAGAGATACAGAATGACATGGTCAAGCAGCAAAAATCCAGATCAGTGATCAGAATGACGAGATCAAGCGTCTCGCTCGTGATGTGACTGGCATGAAGTCACATAGTACAGCAAGTTCTTGGGGTGATGGTGGCAGTGCTCGTGGAGGTGGCAGTGATGCTGGTGGTGCACGTCAACATCCATCAGATGCAACGATCAGATTCATAGGCACATTTCCTCGGCCACTTCTACGAGACCAGCGGAAGCATCACTACGACACAGTCATATTTCCTCGATGTCAGCATATATTGGAGAATGTTGAGGGCACATTTCAAGGTGTGGCTCAGTCTGATAAGTTAAAGTTTCCGACGGCAGTGGCGGCCAAAGTATTTCAGCAAGCATACAATGAAGCTGGTGGTCATGAGTGGCGCGACCCGCGTACCAGTGGTACAGTGCCGATACGATGTCGACAGGATCTACCGATCGACGTACGCACCCGCCAGCGATCGTTTAATGTGATATATGATCCGTTTCTCAGGGGGCTCAAGAAGTCCGCGAAGTGGCAGCAGGGGTGCCGCCTCGGTGTCAATGGCTTCCAGGGAGTCCTCCAAGTCATCGGCCTTGGTGACGTCTGGGAGCTCGCGAAGACGGTGAAGAATAGCAGCGGGCAGGAGAGTTTCGAGCCCAATGTCAGTGAGCTCTCGGAGTGGGGGATCAGCTGTGAGACCGCGCAGAAGCTCATCGCCGAGGCGACGGGCACCCAGTAGGGAACATTTCTGAGGCAGTCACGCGCTGTTGAGCCGCGTGGGGCGCAGCTCAGCATTTTGCCGAGTCAGCAGACTGATACCTCGTTTGCGCCTGCCAGCGAGTTTCACCAAGATATGCATTCGTTTTCGCAGTTTCGTAGCAGCAGCATTTCCTCTTCTGTGCATGGCAGCAGCCCCCCTCCTCTCCCCCCTCTGCTCGTCCATTTTCTATTGGGTCTCGTCTCAGCACCGGCGCGTGGAATGTCCAGATTATATTGGAGTCGGTGTTCAGCAACCAGGACGTTGTCCGGATGAAGTTTTCGCGTTTGAGGTCCCCGCTGGAAAAGCATGCCGTCGTTTGCCTCCAGGAATCTCATGGCATGGAATCAGATTTAGAGCAGCTCGAGAAAGATCACCAATCTCATGTTCCGTTTGGCCCATTCGGTGCTAGTGCATCTGCTGGGGGCCTGCTCTTTTTTTCATCTCGCGCGTGCTGCTGGCGCAGTTCGAGACTGTGCACCTAGCTCAAGTCGCCCCAGGTCGCACTGCTTATCTCAATCTCTTTGGTCCCAGGGGGTGCTGTCAGATCTTTAACGTACACATCGTCCCTGATTGGTCAGAAGGGGAAACCAAAATCGACTTTGTTCGTCTTCGTCGTGAGCTCCTTCCCTCTAGTTGTTTATTGGGCATTGCCTTGGGAGATTGGAACTTCATGCGTCTTGGGGGCGCCAGATCTCATACCGACGCGGGTGCTGGAGGTCCTGTTGGATCTCGGCTTGCTGCAGCTTTTAATCAGTCGCTCGGTGCACTCTGCGAGGTCGTGCAAGAACGCGACACCCATCGCATCGTTCGTCAGACGGAGGAGGGTGATAGCGGCAGGTCCGACCCGCAGATATCGTTCGGCAGGCTCGATCGCATTCACACCGCGCTCGCGTCACAGGACATTCTCGACCTCTGCCCGCAGACTGGCACGAGCTGGGTTATCACGAATCTTAGCAAGCCGTTGGACCACGCACCTGCGTTCCTGTCGCTCGCTGTTTGGAAGCCCACGGGAGACGCGCGCATCCCGACGTGGGTGGCCAAGCACCCGCAGTTTAGCAACATGGCGAAGGATATCTTGGATCCAGAGTTCTTGCCCCGCGACGCCGGCCACCGTCAGCTGGAGATCAAAGATGCGATGAAGTTCGTCGCGAATCGCGTCAAGGATTGGGTTTTTGAAAAAGGGGCCAGGACCCCTGAGGAAAAACTGTCGTGCATGCTCTCGGTTTTGAGGGGCGTTCGGTCGGGGGGCCCCCGTGAGACTCTTAGAGGCCTCAAAGGGTTTCGTGACCTGCACGTGCATCTTGATTCCCAGGGGCTCTGGTGGACCGACCGCGAGGGCTTTGATCTGCTTTTCTCTCAGCTTATGCGTAATGTTCTGCAAGCTCGCGAATCAGATGTCCGCGATGCTGCCGCTCAGTCTGCAGATAATGGTGGCACCCGTGCAGCTCAGCAACTTGCGAGGATTCGCAGGGTGACGCAGGCTTGGAAGATGTCTGGTCGGCAAGTCTTCTTGCGGCAGATTGCGGATGGGGAGGGGGGCCATCATAGTGACCCTAACAATTGCTTTCGATTGCTTGCTGAACATTGGGGGAGGGGGGGGGGGGGGGGCGTTTCAGGCTAGGTGGGTGGACAATGAGGTGATTAAGGAGCTTGTCACGCATATCTGCCCTATCCCATCTGACGATGCACAGTACTGTGCGAAAGACGGCTCGATCTACCCGCGAATTGTGCCCGAGAGTTTGCTCGCCGACATTTTGTCGCAGAAGAAGGGCTCATCTCCTGGGCCTGACGGGGCCCCATACTCGGCGTGGGCTGCCTCTGGGGATGCGGGCCTGAACTGTCTGCATGGCGTTTACCTGGACTTAGTGGGGTCCCAGAGGTTGCCGAAAGAGTTCAATCGTAGTTCCGCTGCGTTCCCCCCCAAAGGTAACTCTGGTGCTGGGGGCGTTATTTGTCGTGAACCTAGGGAAACCCGCCCGCTATTATTTTCCAACACAGATAACACATTGATTAGCTCGTGTATAGATTGGCCACTGGCACAAGTTGCTGGTGATCGCGCTGCTGCTGCTCAACGGGGTTTTCCCCGTGGGCGCCAGCCAGTGGACGACATCATTGGAGTAGATGCCACACTGCTGATGGGCAATGCAATGTGTGGCCAGAGGCGGACAGGCACGGCACTGTTCGACCTCAAAGCTGCATTCCCGAGTAATAATCATGCATATCTTTGGGCGGTCTTGAAAGCATATGGCATGCCTCAGCTCATCATCCTTAGCATCATGGTTTTACATCAGGACAGTATCACGTGCATAATGTCTGCTGGATCTGACCCGTTTCATGCACACCTTATGCGCGGCATAAAACAGGGATGTCCATTGAGCGGGCTCCTCTTCAGCCTCTGCTTCGGCCCTGTGATCAGGAAGTTGCAAGAGGCGTCGCTCTTCTCTGCAGTTGCGTTTAACGTCTTCGCAGACGACCTTGCCGCGTCGAGCTGGGACCTGATTACTATTATGCCGTGCGTCGTCCGAGTGCTCGCTAGGAGTGGGGGTGGTACTGGCCGCCATTTAAACGTCGCGAAGTGCCAGCTCGCATCGCCTGGTAAGTCCACCTAATCTCGCGGTGTGGGTGGCATCTAGGCGCGCGGATTGGGATTGGTAGCATCGAGGCCTCCTGGGGGCCTGTCCTTATCAAGCTCAACGAACGATGTCTACGTATTAAATCTGTGGGCCTCGGGTTATCATCAAGTATTCGATCATATAACGTGTCTGGCCTGCCTGTTGTCTCACATGTGGCGCAAGTGCACCATCCTGTTGCCCGTGCCCGTACTGTCGAGAAAGACGGTCTGCAGCTGCTCACCTGTGCGCCTCGGCATAGCACCCCACCGAAAGCAATGTTTGACTTGACTAGCTTCGGCCACCAGGTGGAAGCGAGGAGACTTGAGATCTTCTCGCAAGCATGTACCCTGAGGGCAGCAACCAGGAGTTCCATGTTCTTATGCTACGACCGTCTAGTTAAGGGCTGGCAGGAATCCGACGAGGTGTGTATTGCTTGGAAATATTTTGAGATTGGTAGTGAAACGATTTTACTCCAGATGATTCGTGTTTATGATGCGTTTTACTGTATACATCCTCCTCCTGGTGATATTCACCCCCGCAAAGTTCAACAGTATATTCAACGCCTTCTTGTTCGTGACACTCCCCCGGAACCGTCCTCGTGTGCGATACTACCAAGACTCAGGAAGTGGTTGCCCTCTTCTGAGGGAGCGGCGGACTTGACGATAAAACATTTCGAAGCTCTTAGCAAGCACCTCCCCTCTTACACCTCCACTGCCCTCCTCAAGCCCGCGCGCAATGCCTGGAACACTTCTCGTCGATATCGTTGCGGGGCCCATGCATGTAGAATGGGATGCCAAGCCGTGGGGGGTGACGACATATTGCACTATATGTCTTGTCCAGTGGCTCGGGAGATACTGAAAAATGCGCTCAAGGCACTACCGTCCGATGCTGGAGAGGGCCCGTTTCGTTCCTTCCTCCCCCACCTTTCCCCCCCGAATCGTGAATGTTTTCTTCCACACTGTATTGCAGTTGATTGTTTGCACAGTGCTTATCAGTCTTTGCGTGCCTCTCCTCTCCCTCCCTGTCCTGCTAGGACCCGTGGCCTGATTCTCGGCAGGCTCCGCGCGAATGCCCGCCGCTCGAAGGTCGCTGCCCAGTTAGCCCGGGCACGTGCGTAGTCTCTCCCCCTGTCGCCTCGTCGCCCCCCATCTGCCTTCGTCTCCTCCCGAGAGAGCCCGCGCCGCTGGCGCCCTCGGCGGTGGCCGCGGCGGGCAGCGCTGCTGGGAGGACTGCGGGGCCTCTCTCCCCCCCCCCCCCCAAGCGCGGGTCACTCCTCCTCCTCCTCTTCCTCCTCGTCCTCTTCCTCCTCCGCCTCCTCCTCCTCCTCTTCCTCCTCCTGCTCCTCCGCCGCCGCCGCCTCCGCCTCCGCCCCCATCCGCCTCCTTCTTTCCTCCTCCTCCTTCTCCTCCCTTTGCTCCTCCCCCCCCCTCCTCCTCCTCTTCGTCTTCCTCCTCCTCATCCTCCTCCTCCTGTTGTGCACATTCGTAGATGATGCAGCTACCAGAGCCGAGGGCACCGAAAGTAATTGGATTGATACTATAGCAAAGCCGGGCATCTACATGTGTGAGGAGCTGGTTCGTGCAGGTTTTGCGGTGAGTGACAAGACGGTTCCGGTGGCCTCCTCGAACAGGATCGCGCCCCAGGCCGCGAATCAACTTCGATGACGTGGGGTACTTCTAGCAGTTTCCACGGATGTTGTTGACTGGGGAGTGGACACGCCGGCGGGCAGGAGGCGCAACCTTAAGACGATGAAGGAACGAATCTCCAAGGGTCGTCGGCGATTTCAAGTTATACGCATAATGCGACGGCACCCGAAGCTGAGGCGCATCACTCCCTCAATGTGGTCGATGGGAGTCCGTCCTGAGTGTACTTACAGCCATCAAGCTTACGGAGCGCCCAACCATCTCCCCACGTGTTTTCGTGGTCAAGCCGCGCAGTGTTCGGTCGGCAGCGGGCCTGGACGATGCCTGACTACTGCGGTTGCGATGATGTTCAAAGCTCGAGGGCTCGACGTGCACAGCTGTGCGCATGGTTGAATATGTGGCGAGAACATCATGAGTACCATGCGCATGTGGCCCTAGCTTGGGAGAAGATCGAACACGACTTCAGATCGCAGGATCGAGGAGATGGCGGCTGGTGAAAGGACCGATTGGAGCTACGATTGCGACAGTATATGACATTGGCTGGCACCCGTGTTCTCTCATGACTTGGGAATATGATCAGTGTTGTTGGTCGATTCCGGTTGTGGTGGACGACGAGTTTAGCAGCTCGCATGGCGATTTTACGGATATCTTGGGCGACGCCGAGGCGACCATCGATTCCCAGCTGGGGACGTCAGCGGCGAACCTCTTGGATTGCACGGACTTCGGCGGCGGCGCGGGCATGCACCACGTGTGCAGGGAGATGGCCAGGTTCGGCACCAGCGACCAGGGCGACGAGTGGGCCTTGAACGTGGTGGTCGTCACGAGGGGCCAGTGGACGCGCGAGCGTCTGAATGAGGTAGGCTACGAAGTCCCGAGTCTCGCGTGTCCACGGTGCCACAGGGTACCAGAGACTCTGTTTCACATAATATGGGCCTGCGAAGCCAATGTTGGCCACGAATATTTCACGAAATCAAATATCTGTGTGTGATCAGGCCCGAGTTAACCACGAGAGCGCCCCGAGCTCTTGGCTCCGAGGGTTCCCAGGGAAGGGGGGGACGATTCCCAGCTTCAACGACGGACCCCCAGAGACTTGGAGGTTCGGGGACACCAATTCAATTCCGCGCGACGCCGAGGGTTATGCCACAGTTTTCGGGGACGGATCGGGAGATCACTTTTCGGATGACCCTCAGCGTCGCAGGGTTGGCGCAGGCGCAGTGGCGCTCGCGCCAGAGGGGTTATCTTGGAAGTCGGCATGGGGGTGCGGAACCACCATCCAAGGGAGGAGGCAGACGGCGCCTCGCGCGGCGATTACTGCCCTCGCCTTTGCCCTGGAATTCCTCCCAGGCCGACTGCGTTTCATCACCGATCATCTTCCGATTCTGTCGACCTGGTCCAGAGGAAAGCGTTTCGGGTTTGAGAACTTGGGGGGGGGCAGTGCCGACCTCTGGTCCAAGGTAGCTTCAGCACTTCAGGCAAGAGAGCCTGACGACGTGCTGTTCGAATGGGTTGCTTCCCACCAAAAGGAGGCGACACTCCGATCCGACGCCGACAAAATCCGTGCGTTCGGCAATGCGCGTGCTGACGCGATGGCGCCGGCGATGGCTGAGATTTCGTGGGCCAACCAGTTCTGTTGTTTTTGACCTTCCTACTGACAGGAGGGATTCGGAGGCCGCCTTGATCCGACGGCGTGCTCGCCGGGCCCTGGGGTGTGCGATTTTGTTGGGGCCGTGGTCCGTGGAACGGCCGAAAAGCTGTGGTCCTGCACCTCTCCCGAAGTTGGCGCGTGTTTTGAGGGACTCCGACCATCGATGGTGTCGTGTGCGTGCGAAGTTTTATTGCACGCAGTGTTTGCAGTTCTCGAATCACGATCCGTTTTTTCCCCACATCCTGAATGGGTTCTTGTTTTCCCCGAACATATTCTCCTTCTCCCTCCCGCCTCCCATATCAATATCACGCCGACCACTCCAACCTCCCATATCATACCACGCCTACCATACCATACCATACCATACCACACCATACCATACCATACCATACCATACCACACACAACCAAACAATACCATACCATACCATACGACCATGCATACCACACCATACCATACCAGGCATACCACACAATACCGAACAATACCATACCATACCATATCAACCTCATTATATAGCATACGTACCATACCACACCACACCATACCATGCCATACCTACCATACAAAACCATACCATACCTACCATCCGATAGCATACCTACCATACGATACAATACCATACCATACATACCATACAATACCATACCAAACTACCCATACAATACCATACCATACATACCATACCATACCATAAACGCAGGAGCGAGCAGGGCATCGGAGTACCACACTATTTGCTAGGTTTCGTGCCCCTCCCGCCCCTCTAGGGAGGCCCCGCCTGAGCGAGGAGGGTATTGGACACCCGTACTATTTACAGGTTTCGTGCCCCTCCCTCCCCTCCAGGGAGGCCCCGTCTGAGCGAGGAGGGTATCGGAAACCCATACTATTTACATGGTTTCGTGCCCCTCCCACCCCTCCAGGGAGGCTCCGCCTGAGCGAGGAGGGTATCGGAAACCCAGACTATTTACATGGTTTCGCGCCCCTCCCACCCCTCCAGGGAGGCATCGCCTGAGCGAGGAGGGTATCGGAAACCAAAACTAGTTGCATGGTTTCGCGCCCCTCCCACCCCTCCAGGGAGGCCCCGCCTGAGCGAGGGGGGAATCGGAAACCAATACTATGTACAAGCTTTCGTGCCCCTCCCACCCCTCCAGGGAGGCCCCGCCTGAGCGAGGGGGTATCGGAAACCCATACATGGTTTCGTGCCCTTCCCATCTCTCCAGGGAGGGCCCGCCTGAGCGAGTAGGGTATCGGAAACCGACACTATTTACATGGTTTCGTGCCCCTCCCACCCCTCCAGGGAGGCCCCGCCTGAGCGAGGAGGGTATCGGAAACCCGTACTATTTACATGGTTTCGTGCCCCTCCCACCCCTCCAGGGAGGCCCCGCCTGAGCGAGGAGGGTATCGGAAACCATACTATTTACATGGTTTCGTGCCCCTCCTTCCCCTCCAGGGAGGCCCCGCCTGAGCGAGGAGGGTATCGGAAACCCATACTATTTACATGGTTTCGTGCCCCTCCCACCCCTCCAGGGAGGCCCCGCCTGAGCGAGGAGGGTATCGGAAACCATACTATTTACATGGTTTCGTGCCCCTCCCACCCCTCCAGGGAGGCCCCGCCTGAGCGAGGAGGGTATCGGAAACCATACTATTTACTTGGTTTCGTGCCCCTCCCTCCCCTCCAGGGAGGCCCCGCCTGAGCGAGGAGGGTATCGGAAACCATACTATTTACATGGTTTCGTGCCCCTCCCTCCCCTCCAGGGAGGCCCCGCCTGAGCGAGGAGGGTATCGGAAACCATACTATTTACATGGTGTCGTGCCCCTCCCACCCCTCCAGGGAGGCCCCGCCTGAGCGAGGAGGGTATCGGAAACCATACTATTTACATGGTTTCGTGCCCCTCCCACCCCTCCAGGGAGGCCCCGCCTGAGCGAGGAGGGTATCGGAATACCATACTATTTACATGGTTTCGTGCCCCTCCCACCCCTCCAGGGAGGCCCCGCCTGAGCGAGGAGGGTATCGGAAACCCAGACTATTTACATGGTTTCGTGCCCCTCCCACCCCTCCAGGGAGGCCCCGCCTGAGCGAGGAGGGTATCGGAAACCAATATTATTTACTTGGTTTCGTGCCCCTCCCTCCCCTCCAGAGAGGCCCCGCCTGAGCGAGGAGGGTATCGGAAACCCGTACTATTTACAAGCTTTCGTGCCCCTCCCACCCCTCCAGGGAGGCCCCGCCTGAGCGAGGAGGGTATCGGAAACCCACACTATTTACATGGTTTCGTGCCCCTCCCACCCCTCCAGGGAGGCCCCGCCTGAGCGAGGAGGGTATCGGAAACCGACACTATTTACATGGTTTCGTGCCCCTCCCTCCCCTCCAGAGAGGCCCCGCCTGAGCGAGGAGGGTATCGGAAACCCAGACTATTTACATGGTTTCGTGCCCCTCCCACCCCTCCAGGGAGGCCCCGCCTGAGCGAGGGGGGAATCGGAAACCCATACTAATTACCTGGTTTCGTGCCTCTCTCACCCCTCCAGGGAGGCCCCGTCTGAGCGAGGGGGGTATCGGAAACCCACACTGTTTAAATAGTTTCGTGTCCCTCCTACTGACATGGGTGAGGAGGAGGGGAGAACCTTACCTATCCATCTCACGTCCTACTCCTCCCACTGAGGAGGGTGAGGAGGAGGGGGAGTTTTGCGATGAGGAAGGCTTCATCATGATGATGGCGATGACGATGGTTATGCTGCTGCTCACGATGACGATGACGATGGCGATAATGGTGATGGACGATGACGATGGCGATAACGGCGATGATGTTGATGATGATGATGATGATGATGATGATGATGATGATGATGCTGATGCTGATGCTGATGCTGATGATGATGATGATGATGATGATGATGGTGATGGTGATGGTGATGGTGATGGTGATGGTGATGGTGATGGTGATGGTGATGGTGATGGTGATGGTGATGGTGATGATGATGATGATGGTGATGCTGCTGATGATGATGACGATGATGATGATGATGATGATGACGATGACGAGGCCGCGCTTGAACGAGGAGGGTCGCGGAAAGCATTACTCTTTACCAGGTTTCGTAGCCCTCCCCCCTTTCCAGCGGGGCCCCGCCAGAGCGAGGAGGGTATCAAGAAACCGTACTAGTTACAAGGCTGCGTTTCCTGAGCAGTTGTCCTCCCTCCTTTCTTTCGTCTGCCCTTTCGTGCGTACGTACTCGTTCGATGAGTTTCTCCTTCGTGTTGGTGTTGTCGTACCCCATGGGTCCCACGGAACCGTTAATATCTCTATGTGGGGACCCCGTTAGCATAATTTTAAGCGCGTGCGGCCCAGTGTTCGTGCAAGCAATTTCGGAAGTTCGAGCGAGAGTGAGCGGCAAGGTCCTCCACCCGTCGCACTCGTTGCAGTATTGGAGCAACTATTGCCTCACGTTTTGTAGCAACTGCGGATTTGGTTGCACCACCGACCCTCGGCAGTTGGTTAAGGAATTTGCCCCCACGCCCAAAGGGAGTCCAGCTCCGCCTCCTCCTCCTCCTCGGATTCCTCCTCCTTTGTTTTCTCCTCCTCCTCCTGATCCTATTTCTCCTCCTCCTCCTCCTCCTCCTCCCTCCTCGCTCCTCCTCCTCCTCCTCCCCCTCCTCCTCCTCCTCCTCCTCCTCCTCCTCCTCCTCCTCGTCCTTCTCCTCGTCCTCCTCCTCCTTCTCCCCCTCCTCCTCCTCCTCCTCCTCCTCCTCCTCCTCCTCCTCCTCCTCCTCCTCCTCCCTCTCCTCCTCCTCCGCCTCCTCCTCCTTCTTCTCCTCCTCCTCCTCCTCCTCCTCCGTAGCCATTTTGGCTCAAGATGTGCGGTTCCCTCGGGGGCCAAACGGATACCGCTAGTCCGCGGCAGTGCGAGGGCGATTCGCCCGATCACCAGTTTTGCAGTGCTGGTCTGCCCCAGCAACTGCTACATCTCACGCACGCCTGCGTCAGCCTGCCCAGGCGGCGCAGGCTTCCTTCCGAAGCACGCCTGAGGAGCGGGCAGCAGTGGCATGGCAGGCGATGGGCCCCAGAAGCTCAACCGCCATGCGCAGCGGCGCCGCGAGCAGGCTAAGGACTGGTGCTGCAAGTTCTGCGTCCACCCGATCACGCAGAACCAGTGGTGGAATCGGTCCGACACGGTGTCGTGCTCCAAGTGCGGGACGGCCAAGGCGGTGGCATTCATGTGTGTTCGCCCGCCGCCTGGACCGTCCACCAAGCGTGCCAAGCCGCCAGCAGCTAATCCATCGGGCAACGGCTCCACTGCGGTGCCGCCGTGGGTCAATGACAAGCTGGAGGCCTTGGCAAAGGAGCTTGCCAGCACCAAGGCCAAGCTGGCCGAGACCACCAGCAAGCTGCAGGGGCCGTTCATGGAGGTCGACGAGGGCGCAGAGCACGGTGAGGGCCAGGGTGACTCCTTGGACCAGAAGCGGGCTCGCCTCGAGGAGGTCGACGCCGCGCTGCGGGCCATCGCGGGCTCCAGCGAGGTCCTGTTCGAGACGGCTCGTGTCGAGCTGGAGGACACTCGCAAGAAGCTCAGCGCGGAGCTGGCGGCTGCGAAGCCCGTCCCAGCGCAGCTGCGCACCTTGTCCTTCAAGCTGGGCAAGCTCGAGCAGAAGCGCGCCAAGCAGGAGGAGGCCCTGCAGACGGCCAAGGACAAGGTCGTGCAGGCCAATAAGGAGGTGGATGAGGCCACGCAGCAGATCGCCGAGTCCGACGCGGCGATCTTGGAGCTCCAGCAGGAGCAGACGCGGCTTGCCGCCACGCTCCCTCGGCCACCAGCTGGAGGCGTCTCGCCGAAGGCTGACATCGTCGAGGGGCTCGGCGTCACCATCGAGAAGATGGGCGCGATGTTGGCAGAGCTCGGCGATAGCGGGGTGCTCGCGGAGAAGCTCGGCGCGGTGCTGGGCGAGGTCCGTGAGTACGAGAAGCGTAAGGTCGAGGCCGCAGCGCAGGAGGCCAAGGCTGCAGCCGAGGCAAGGGCGACTCAGGCCAAGGCCGAGCCCGTGCCCAGCCAGGGCGCCAAGGGGCCGGAGGCAGGCCCTGACCTCCCAGACCCCGACACGGCGACCGAGGAGGAGCTGCGCGAGTTCCTCTCCAGCTCGGGCGTGGACCCGTCCCAGGAGAGCTCGGAGCTCCGCGGCCAGGTGCGCAAGATCACCGACGCGCTGGGCGGCTGGCGCGAGGTCAAGAGGGCCAAGGTGGTGTCTGCTGCCTAGCCTGGTGCGAGCGCTGCTGCTCCTGGCGCTCCTGCCGCTGGCAAGGGCATCTGGCACCATCGGCACGGTTGCTGGGGGGCTGGACGCCAACCCGCTGTTCGGGCAGGCGGCGGCGGCGGCAGGCCCCAGCCGCTCCCCAGCGGCCCAGGCCGAGGCCAGCGCCGCCCGCAGCAAGCGGCGGGCCCAGCTGCTGGCGCGCGTTGGAGCGCGCGAGAAGGCCTTGGCCAAGGCGAGCGCGCGCCAGCGCCGAGGCAAGGCCTCCAGCAAGGTCGGCCTGTCTACGGCCGATCGAGACGTACTGCTTCCTCGACGAGCAGGGCAGAATGCCCCGCCAGATTTTGATTCCCGCGATCGCGGAGGCCGTCTGGTCGACAACGGGGAGGTTTGCTCAGGCATTGGATCTGCTGGGCTTCTGGCTGGGACAACTGGCGGAGGTGATGGCAAGGATGATGCTTGGGGCCGCCCATTCTCTTTTTCTGACCCGGGTGCAGATGATGATGGTAATCATGTTCCTGACCGTAAGGGCTCTGTTGTGACTTTCAATTGCTCTGAGGAGGGTCAGCTGTTGCGCTTCCTTGATTCCTGCGAGCACACTGTGGTGGCTATACAAGAGCACCACGTCGCAGAGGATCGTCTTCCAGACCTGCAGCATCGAGCCTTGGACCCTGGCTGGCATGGAGTCTGGAGCTCGGCCACCAAGACGGGCAACCAGGAGGGCACTCAGGCGGGCCTGGCCATCCTGGCTAAGGGAGACGTGCTGGTCACGGCCCCCCCAGGGCGCTCGACGCCCCATATGGCGAATGGGAGAGCGCTGGCTGCCCACGTCCATTGGGGGGTGCCTGGGGGATTCATTCTGATTTCAACATATCTATATGTGAATGAAGGCCTCTCTGATAATAACGTTCGCATCTTGGCTGATATCTGCGAGTACATTGAAGTTGTCAACGCAATGGGTCTTGATTGGATCGTAGCGGGAGACTTCAACCTTGAGCAGGCTGAGTTCGGGGACATGGAATGGCTGTATGGATTGGGAGGTGCGCTGGCACGCCCATCAGTCTCGACGTGCAGGCAGTCGTTGCCAGGCAGGACGATAGACTATTTCCTGATGACCACCAATCTGCTCCCCAGAACGAGCCGCCCGTATGTGCAGGAAAATGGAGACACATTCCCACACCTGCCAGTAGTATTACCTATCATGGGGAAGGATGTTGTTCTGAAGACTCGCACGCTGGTCAGCCCGAAGCGCCCTTCGAGACAGCCGAAGCCTGGGTGCGCTAGATACCCTCTGAACTGGAGCCAGGTCAATCGTATTATAGATCAAGCGATTGATAATCCCACATTGGGTGCTGCATGGGATGCAGTCTTGGCACAGCTGGAGATAGAGTTGCTTGCCAGATATGATATTGTCGGATCTCACACAGAAGCTTATCGAGGCAGAGGCGGAGACACCCAAATGCAGTATACTAAGTTGCGTTGGGAGCCGCCTAGGCGCAGAGGTGAGCAGACAACACGAGACAGAGCTTGGAGAGCAGCAGGCCGATGGGCCCGCCATTTACGCCGCTATAAGGAGAGCCTTGTCAATCAGACTGTGCTGCTATGCCATCAGGAGCGGGCGGGCACGATGTCCAACAAGGCTTTCGACAAGTTGGCTCGCATGCTAGTGGACATCACCAAGTTCATGGCAAGGATTCGCAACGATCCTTTACGTGACGCCTTGGATGATGATGCTCGGAACTTCTTCGACATGGACATCGGTTTTGTCACTAGTGGTAGCACGAATCACATGATTGAAAGTATCATCGATCGGGCGGACGCTTGCCAGAAGCGCCAGAATGACACGGCTCTAGCGTGTTGGCGAGAGTGGGCGGCTTCGTCGTTCAAAGGTGGAGGTCGTTTCGCACACCGTCACACTCGAGGCCGCGCACTTCAGGAAGTTTGCGCTGCCTGCCTGCTTCCTGGTTCGGAGGCGCAGCCATTCAAGATGGCGGACAGAGCCATGCGAGAGTGGGACACCATATGGCACATGCATGATCTTCCTGAGCCAGTTCCACACGGGTCTGATCAGTGGGACGATCTACCACATATATCCTTGGACGATATCAAGCGTGCGATCTTGCAGTTCCCTTGGACCACGGGCATCGGGCACTTCGAGTTTGCGCCCCGAGCGTTCTGGTTCGTTTCGGACGCCGGCCTGGAGTCGCTGGCGCGCCTGTTCATGCGATGTGAAAAGCTTCTGATATGGCCGTCGTCTCGCATTCTCACCCAGCTTGTGCGTATTCCGAAGTCCACAGGCGGCTGCAGGCTGATCGCCCTAATGCACACCCTCACTCGGATATGGGGACGTGTTCGCCGTCCAACAGCTGTCGCTTGGGAGCGTGACCACGCGCATCCCACGGTGTGGGGGACGGGTCCAGGGCGATCGTCCAGCGACAGCGCCTTCTCTTTAAATTTAGCTTCGGAGATTGCGCACGAATTGCGAGAGGATTGTGTAACTGTTTTCATAGACATGGTGAAATGTTATGAATGTGTAGACCTCCAGGCCCTCTTAGGGGAGGCCAGGGCCACAGGGTTCCCGCTCCGCTTGGCCTGGATGGCCATCCAGAACTACACCCAGCCTAGAGCCCTTAGAGCCTTTGGTAGCTTGTCGTACTCGGTTTCCACGGCCCAAGGGATCTTAGCTGGGTGTTCGCTAGCCACAACTCTGCTCACGGTGCTTCTGTATAGAAGTTTGAACCTGTCGGTGGAGCGATTCCCATCAGTGGAACCCAGGGACCTGATGGATGACGTGAGTTTTAACTGGGCGGGCAGACGCCGCCAAGGCAAAGATCCAGGAGAGAGCTCGCATGTGCTAGCGCAAGCGGTTCAGTCTTTCTGTCACGATATTGCCCCCCTCGGTTTGCGAGTGCAGGCGAATAAGAGCGGGTTTGTGGCCAACACTTGTGCTGCTCGAGACACATTCGCACGGCACATTTCGCAGCTAGGTTTTCGCAGCAAGCACGGCATGCGTAATCTAGGGCACGAGATGCACGGAGTCAAGGTTCTGCGGGTCCAAGAGAAGGCCCGACTTCGGGTCTTGCAGTCCAAGAGGCGTAAGGTCTGGGGGCTCCGCCAGGCTCAACCAGAGGCCGTCAAGGCCCTTTGGCGAACGGGGCTCCTCCCAGCAGCCAGCCACGGTGGTGGCGTTAGCGGCGTGTCCGACGTTTCTCTTCGAGAGCTTCGAACGTTTGCGGGAGGAATGGTAGGAGCTAAGCCCAAGTCCTGCCTCACTACCTATCTGTGCACGCAAAAGGACGATAGGTTCGACCCTGTGTTCGATGCTTCGGTTCCGCTTGTTGTGAGGTTTGCTACTTGTGTCTGGGAAGCCAGGGTCGTCCCTTCACGTCTTGCTCGAGCTTGGCTCGCGATTAAAGACAGAATTCAGCACAATGCGGCGTGGAAGTATGCCAGGGGTCCTATTTCTTCGGTATGGTATACGCTCCTTCGGATAGGTTGGTCAATGTCGGGACCCACCACCTTAGTGAGCGACGAGGGCTGGCCCATCGACCTGCTCCGTGTATGTCCTCAGGACGTGCGCGTTTTCCTGGAGCAGGGAATTCGGAGGTGGCAGGCTGCGAGGGTCCTGGCCCATTTCCCCGACAACGAGGGGCACACTGTTTGGCGTCGTGCGCTTCGAAAATCAGTGCTTGCTCTCCGTGATGGGGGCCGCCGTGGGGCGCTGCGGTCCTTGTGGGCTGCGGGGGTCTGGACTCCAGAGCGCCTCCATTCGATTAATTTGCGCCCGACGCCGTTGTGCTTTGTGTGTAAAGAACAGGTCGGCACCGAGGCCCACCAGTGGTGGGGTTGCGATGGCATGCTTGAGTGTAGGCCCGAGGAAGCTATGCCCGACGATGTCCTGGAGCACCGTGCCAGCTTGGTCAAGAGCTACCAGACAGATAACGGCAAGGAAGCTTTCTTTTTAAATTATGGGCTGCCGCCCTTGCCGCTTTTTCCAGAGCCAGTGGCCGACTCGCTTCCGACGATGGGGTGGGGTGACTGGCGGGGAGTCTGGGGGCCGAAGGTGTACACGGACGGGTCAGGCCTGGCGAATTCGATGGAAGGCCTGACGCGTTGTGGCTGGGCCGTGGTCCAACTAGATGAGTCTGGCTGTGTAGTCAGAGCGATCTACGGCCCGCTTCCAGGTAGGCTTCAGACCGTCCCGAGGGCGGAACATTATGCTGCCCTACGAGCCATCCAGATCGCAGCGCACCCAGCAGAGATTGTGTCTGATCATCTTAGTTTGGTGAAGACTGGTCGGCAGCTCTCTTCTTTGTGTGAATCAGGTGCTTCCCGTCAGGCGTTTATTTGGAGGCAGATCAGGCACGAGATCGGGCAGTCGGAGCCTCCCATCTTTCGCTGGACGAGCGCCCATCGCTCCCTGGACGACGTGTTGCCCCTTGGGGCGGCCGAAGTTTTTGATTTCGTCGGAAACGAATGGGCCGATTATTTTGCAAAATTGGGCTCGCAGTCCCATGCAGTAGCGCAGGTCCTCGTTGATGTGCACAAATCCAGATTGCAGGTCGCTCGTAAGGACGGTGAGGCCTTTGCCTGGATGGTCCAGGCGGCCGCGCGGAAGGCGGAGCAGCTGCAGCCAGCTGCCGACGCCCCAGCGCCCCGCAAGGCCACCCCCGCTCCTTCGCTTTCTGTCACATCTCACACGATGATGTTCTGTAAAGCTATCTCAGAGTACAGGTGTTCGTCGTGCAATCGTTTCGCTCGCACTGCCCTGTCCTATCGTTTTTTGCGAAACTCGGCTTGCGCTCCCTCGGCCCTTCATCGGGCCACTGCGGAGCGCTTCTTCCGTTTGACCCCCCAGCACTACGTGTCAGACTCGACACCGTCGGTGCAGGTGGCGGTCGAGGCCGCAGGAGGCCCGTTCCATGAGGAGGAAGGAGGTGTGCTGCCTGCCGCTGCTGCTGCTGATGGGGTGGTGGAGGTGTGCACTTCTCTCGGACATCCCGCCGAACGATTCGGCCCCGCCGTTATTTGTTTAGCCTGCGGGGCCTTTTCGATTAATGGTGGTCGAAATCCGAAACTTACGACGAAGGCCTGTAAAGGCCACTCTCCCGTGGCCTCAACGCGGGCCAACGAGGAGAGCAATATTTCTAGGGTCCTTAGGGGCCTGCATCCCCGATCGGGCGAACCCTTGTCGTTCGATTGATGCGTGTGCTGCGCCTCGCCACTCTCAGCCTACATTTCCGCTGAGATGGTGGCCGAGCCTCGGCACATAAGAGCTGGGCACGGGTGGCCAATGTCCCACCTGCCTGGTTTCTCACGCTCCTGCTGGGGGGTGTCAGTGACCCTGACACTTCTTTCATCGCTGCCTGCCTCCTCCTCTTCCTCCTCCTCCGCCTCCTCCTCCTACCCCTCCCCCTCCTCCTCCTCCTCCTCCTCCTCCTCCTCCTCCGCCTCCTCCTCCTCCTCCTCCTCCTCCTCCTCCTCCTCCTCCTCCTCCTCATTTTTTCTTACTCCTCTTATTCCTCGTGTTCCTCCTCGTCGTCGTCCTCCTCCTTAGCCTCACCCTCCTCCTCCTCCTCCTCCTCCTCCTCCTCTTCCTCCTCCTCCTGCTCCTCCTCCCCCTTCTCCTCCTCCTCCGCCTCCTCCTCCTCCGCTCCTCCGCCTTCCCTCCTCCCTCCTCCTCCTCCTCCTCCCTCCTGCTCCTTTCTCCTCCTTCTCCCCCTCTCCTCCTCCGCCTCCCTTCTCTTCTCCCCCCCTCCTCCCCCTCCCCTCCCCCTCCCTCCTCCTCCTCCTCCTCCTCCTCCTGCTCCTCCGCCTCCCTAATCTTCTCCTCCGCGTCCTCCTCCTCCTCCTCCTCCTTCTCCTCCTCCCCCTCCTCCTCCTCCTTCTCCTCCTCCTCCTCCGCCTCCGTAGCCATCTTGGTTCAAGAACCACTCTGGCCCAAGCTTTTGCTGGGTCCAGGGTGCCCCTGGGCTGGACTGGCGTTCTTCTGTGTTTTCTTGAGCGCCCCATCCGAGGCGAACGCAGGGGTGCTCGGTCACTGGGCGCTACGGGCTCCGCCCGTCCCGCTTGGTGGGTGAGCTCCTTTTTCCGCGCGCCTGTCATGTCTGTGTTCCTTGCTTTCGCGCTCTTCCTGGTGGTCGACTCGACGGTGATCGTTGGGCGCAATTCATCGGCAGCGTTCGGCGAGGAGCACTTCACCACTTCCCGTTTTCCGTCTTCATCTACGGCAGTAATTGATGTGTTGCGGTGCCAGCACATTGGCGTACGTGGTGCTCGCGCTCATGTGCCTACCCGTTTCGCTACACCGCCCCCATCGTCGGCTCTCGTGGCTGGCCTTCTTGCTGTGCTTCTTCGGCTTCGGGCAGGACGTGGTGCTGGACAGCGTCGCCTTCCCTGCCCCGCTGTCGCTTCCCGATGGTGGATTTGCCGCCGGTCCAGCTGGGCGCGCCAGGCGCTCCAGAGTTGAAGTACCTCCTCAAGAACAAGGTGGCGGACAAGATCGTGACCGCCATCGGCGTCGTGACGGTGACGATCAACAACAAGGCGCCCATCGTGAGCTCCGCGATTCGGGCGCGCCGCTGCCTGTACATCGTACTCATGCTATTGTACCTCAGCGGGCGGCCGCCTGGCATTCTTTTCCATGCGATGCAGGTGGCGCGACAGTTCAGGCAGTATGCAATGCGGCCGGCCGCCATATTTACCCAGATTTGTTCGACAAGGCAGTTGGAATGTTCCCATTATTCCCACCGCCGCCTGACGACCTCGGCGAGGCTCTTGGCCCGCCCGACAGGCTACGGTTGGACCATTGCGTTGTCGTTCCTGCTGGGTCGCGTCTCTGTCTTTGGATAGGCTACCCTGAGCAGGCAATCTTGATGCCAGGCGTACTTGTGGTTATGCGTGCTACCGCGGCTGGCATTGTTGCTAATTCAGGCGCCAACTGTAAGTCGGGACCTGCGACTCCTCACCCTCCCCCTGCTCGGCTCCGTGCGCGGCCTGAGTCCAGTTGGGAAATAGGTGCTCGAGATCGCAGCAGGTCTCGCGCCCACATCCGCAACGCCAGGCCAGTCTCTTCGCCGAGTAGCGCGCCCCCTGCCAGCGGAGGCTCGGCCTCCCACAGCGTCGGCGGCTCACTGTCGCCCAGGGAGGAGCCCAGAAGTTTCGTGAAGTCCGCCGAGGAAGGGCTGCGCCGCGCTCAAGAAGCTTTAGTGGAGGTGAAGCGCCGTCGAGTCGCTTCCTCACCGTCTCCCCGGCCTGGCAACCAAAAATCAATGGCCTCGTCCTCCTGCTGGCCCGCCGCCAACGCGCCTGGTTGAGGCCCACCGCGCCAAGGAGCGCAACAGGGCCCCTCAGGCCAAGGCCCACGCAGGGGAAGCCACGTGTTCGGTGGGCCACTCTCTAATCCTTTTACATAAGGCGAATTGGAGGTTCGTCTGCGAGTGCAACAATCGTCTCCCGCGCGGCTCGATCACTCTCTGGTGCAGGACGAGTGAGCACACGGTTTGCGGCGACTGCTACTCGCCGCCCACGTTGTCTAAAGAAGTTCTTGCTTTAGCGCAGGAGAGGGACTCAGCAGCTAGCGGCTCTGCTCCATCGCAACGCTCGGCCGCCCCCGCTGCCAAACGCATGCCTGCCTCGGCACGTGCCGCGGAGCAGGTCCCAAAGATGTTGTTGAGGCCCAACTATGATGACGTGCACCCCCTAGTGTGCACGGACTGCAAGGGCAGAGCCTGGCCAGGCTTGTACTCGAAATCAGACAGGTACCACTGTGCCGTAACTTCATGCCCGTGCTGCTTCAGGTGCCGTCCTGAAGCAGGTCGTGCATCAGGTGCCGTCCTGCTTCAGGTGCCAGAAGAGCACATGGAACGGCCAGTGGTGGGGTCTTGTCTCGTTCAATGCGGGCAAGGGCTTCGTGTGCAGATTTTGCTGGCTCGAGGGATGCACGGAGGCAGACCTGCCCAAATGGCAGCGCTGGTTCACGCACCGGCAAAGCATGTACGGTCGCGCAGTCCCCCCAACCCCTCCGAATGGAGGCTCTAAGTTTGCCCCGCCGCGCTTTAAGGCTTGGCGCGGCTCGGCGCTCCACCCTTTTCTGGTTGTGTGCATTCCTGGATATTCCAGGCTTGCCGTGCTTGCCGCGCGGGTCTCTTTCTCTTTTCTGATCCCGTCGGTGCTTGGCACTTTCGGGGGGCTCCTCTCTTTCCTGGAGTATTCGCGGGCGCGGCCTGGTTGCACGTGTCGGTGCCCCTCCCCGTGGTGGTCCCTCGGGGTTCGGTGGACTTTTCGTTGTTGGCTTATTTGGTCTTTGGCCTTTCACTGCTGCGCGATCGCGCGGTGCGTGCAGGCTTGGGTCCTGGTAGCTTGTACGGAACATTGCGTGGCCACGGGGGCATGGCCTTGATTGTGGTCCTGGAGCCTTGCGTTTAGAACGGTTGCTGTGGTTTTCTTTGGAACACGGGGTGCGGGCGCAGGCCTCACCCAGCACCGCCCGTTTTACATGCCCCTCACGGGGCTCTTTGGCTGTGGACGTCAAAGAATTACCCTCTTCCGCCTTTTCCTCCTCCGCCTCCTCGTCCTCCTCCTCCTCCTCCTCCTCCTCCTCCTCCTCCTCCTCCTCCTCCTCCTCCTCCTCCTCCTCCTCCTCCCCCATCCCCCTCCTCCTCCTCATCCTCCTCCTCCTCCTCCTCCTCCTCCTCCTCCTCTTCCTCCTCCTCCTCCTCCCTCCTCTCCTCCTCCTCCTCCTCCTCCTCCCCCTCCTCCTCCTCCTCCTCCTCCTCCTCCTCCTCCTCCTCCTCCTCCTCCCCCTCCTCCTCCTCCTCCTCCTCCTCCTCCTCCTCCGCCTCCCTCTAAGTCGACCCCTCGGACCTTTGGGGCGCGTTCCGAGCAGGATTTCGGCCTGAATCCATCAGGGGCGGCGCGGCGCGGGCCTGAAGGATGCGAAAACCATGAAAATCTTGAAAGGCGAGTCATCCAGGGTTCCTTGTCCAGCGCCCTTTGGAAGCGGCATGCCAGGTAAAGCCGAGATCAGGCCCAGATTCGGTACATGCGCAGTCTGGACAGGGCCAGGAGGGCGTTTGTAACGATCGCGGCCGGGCGGGGTTGGGACACGGACAAACTTTCCATAGCGTTCCAGAATTTTCCGAGAGAGCCCGAGAACGCGATGAGAAGGCCACGGCGCCCGATACATCCCCCAGAACGGTCTGATCTCAGAGATCCCCGAATCATCCCTGTCCGATGCTGTCCTTGTCCTGGCGTTGTCTTACACTCATGGGCGCAAAACGCACCCGAATCCGCAGCTTCACGGGCCCGACCTATGGGCCGCGACCCCGCGGATACGGTGCGTTGTTTCGCGGATGGTTTGCGCGGAACATATCCGTGCGACCGCGCATCGTCTCATCACGCCCTGGACTCCAGGCCGCGAGGGCGCGTATACGGACATGTCCGCCGCTCGTGGCACACGGGCCCAGGACCGGCATGGCCAGGATCGGTGCAGCTGTGCAGCTCCAGGGCTCTTTTCGACTTCCGATTCGATTCGGTTCGACTTCGATCGGTTCCGATTCCTGTTCGGTTTGACTCCGGATTCCAATTTGGATTTCGGTTTCTCTTTGCAGGCCTCACTGGCTTGCCGACTTCCGCAGATCCGCATTCATTCCGATCGCCGATCCGATTTATCGATTCGGTTCTTGGCTCTCCTGCAGCTGGCGCGCGGCACGGGCCTCTCCCCTCAGAGGTACCGGCCGCCGGGGAGCGCCGCGGTCCTGCCGGAGGGCGCCTGGCGTTCGCAGGCGCGCGACGTGCGGCTGCAGGGCAACCGCCTGTGCGCAAGGCTGCGGCGAGAGGACGGCTCGCTGGCGCCCCAGGCCCGGCCTTCCGAGAGGGGCGTGAGCTCCAGGCCTACCAGCTGGAGTCGGAGGATCGCGCCGCATCGCCGACGCATCGGCGGTGCGGCTCGGCTCGATGTGGAGCCCGATGTCGTCCACGCCGACGTCGCCGATGCATCGCGGTTCACTGGCGTCCCAAAGGCCTGGGGTCTGGGGCTTTCATCTGGCATTGGGAGAACGCTCACCCAGACAAGTCGACCTAGGTCGGCATTGGCGTAAGGGTGTACCGGCCGGTTCAGTCCCTGGACGGTTTTGCGAATCCACGTGTGTCTCGCCAGATGCATTCGGTTGTCTTCGGACGTCGAGTAGTGATTCCGCCCGGATGCACTCGGAAAACAGTGCCGCGCCCACACGTGGAGTGCCCCAGCAGCTTTCGTTAAAGGGCGTTTCCTAGAGCGGGTTTGGCCAATCGATCTCAGAGGAGGGCGAGTTGTGACAACGGAAGTTGGCTTTCGGGGGGGCCCCTCATCGCCACGGGTGGACGCTTCTCGCGAAAGTGGTGCGATTGGATTCCGGGAAGGGGGTCCAATCGCACCGATTTTGAGTTGCTGTTGTCTCAACTCGCCTTGCTCCAGGGGACCCTCCGAAGGGGCGCGAGCCGACAACCTGCAGCCGATCCTGGCCACGCCAGTCTTAGGCCCAGGGCTGGTGCACATGCCCTCCCTGCCAATCCAGGAGGGAGTGCTTGCACCAGGCCAGGGCCAGGGATCGGCCTGGCCAGGATCGGTGTAGACGTACAGCTGGCGCCCTCCGCTGGAAGCCGGCACCAGACTCCATTCGAGGCATTGCGCGTTTTCCGCTTTTTGTCAGACTTCTGGAAGCCTCCGCGAGGACCTACAGGGACTTCCGTGGATCTCAGGAGACCTCCAGATACTTCCAGTTCGAAGCAGGGATCGAGGATCCAGGTTTGGGGATGTCATTGGGGCTTTGGGTTTATTCTGGGCATTATGAGACGCCTTCGCCGCCGCAGGCTGGGTTCCCCTCGGAATTCGTAGCCTGGCCGCACCACGGAGCCCGGCATGGTCTGGGGAAACGGTTTTCAGGCGTGGGCCAGACGTCTGGCGCCACAGAAGATGACGTCTGAATTCGGATGCCTGAGAAGTTGGCACCAACACCGTCAGAGAGAAGACTCACATGTTTGCCAGCATGAGTCCTCAAAAGATAAGGTTGCGCTCTGGGTGTGCAAGCTGTGTGGTGGAAGCTATGCGGTGCAGGTCTGTTTGCCTACTCATGGGTTGTCAACTCCAGTGCTCGTGCAGTGCAATCCACCTTTCAGAACTTGAAGTCCTCAACTCCCCTGCACAACCGATGTGGCCGCGATTTCGATGACGACTTGGCGCTGGCTGGCGCATCTCTGCGGCTGCTCTAGCGCACGCAAGCTCGCGCGCGGAGCGGCCAGCTGGTTTAGCGCAACCGACGCGGCCACGATGGCACTGACCGACGAGAACTTCCCAGTGCGTCTCAAAGGCCGCGCTGGGGCGCGGGCACTTCAGTGCGGACTGGTGACTCGGGCGGGCGCGATGTCGTTATGACGGCGACAACGGGGATAACGATGGTGATAGTAGCGATTGTGGTGGCGATGACGACGGTGATGGTGGCAATGCCAATGACCGCGCCGATGTTGGTGACGAGGATGACCATATGATTTCCGTGTATCGGTGACGACGGTGGTTGACATACAATTCCGGCAATGGCGGTGATTGGCGATGACGGTAACTCCTGTGACGCGCTGGCGTTGACGAGGGTCATGGTGAGGGAGCGCGGGCGTGGAAATACAAGGAAGTTTGAAAGGTTTGGGTTGGGAAATATCGGTGCTTCATGTGTTTTTGAAAAGCTCTATGTTGAAGTGTTTCGAACACCGTTTGTTTGAGAAGGTTCGCGCGCGGTGGCGGTGCGCTCCTGCGACCTGCATAGTGTTATTCAATACGGATTCGTGCACTGGGCGCGTGTTGGACCAACGCGGTGACGGATGCTCGTGCATTGTATCATTTGACAGCGATTAGGGGGTGCCGATACCGATCGGCTTGGGATGGTACGCACTCATGCAGAGTCTGAACAATGAGGCAGACCCAAAAGTAAATTTCATGGTCCCCGGGCGAACAGAAAAGTCCGGGCTTGGGACCGGCCGGGGTTTAAAGCAATGCCGAAAGAAGTATCAAGGTTGTGAAACTTAGTGTTTGTGGCATTTCGTGTTGCCAAGCTATGAGATGGCAATTCCATCGCTTGCGCCATCACCCCACACTCGCACCCATAACTTGTTTTGCAAAACCCATGGGGCCTCAATTGTAGTGACTGGTTGGCCCTTGTTGGCGCATCTCTCCGGCCGCTCTGGCGCGCGCAAGCTTGCGCGCAAAGTGGAGAGCTTGTTTGGCACAGCTGATGCGGCCCTTGATGGCGCTTGCCGATGGCAACATCCCAACGTCTATGAAGTCGCGTTGGCGCGCGGGCACTACTGTGCGGATCGGTGACTCGGGTGGGCGCGATACCATGATGACGCTGGCAGCGACGACAACGATGATGATACAAGCGATGATCACGGCGATGATGGCGATGACGGCGGCAAAGTCAGTGACGGCGATGACGATGATGATGATGTCAATGTGCTGGTTGGGAAGGGGATTGGTAGAAGATGGCGGGAACGCCAGCGTTTGGCGATGACAACAACGGCTGTCATGCGACGACGTTGATGCCACTGATAGTGAGAAACGGCGCGCGCAGGAAGTCTATGTTTGAAAAGTATATAAGTATAGTATATATCGACACGCTTCGAAAACTAATTGTTTGGGATTGTTTTGGAAGGATTTCGACAATCACCCGTGGCGGCGCTAGCGTGTGGCCCGCGTGGTTGTATTTGATGGGGTTTATGGCACTTGGCGCATCAACGCATCTACAACGTGTAGTGGGATGAAGATGCGGTTTGTTGACGGCATTGTTGGAACCGCACGGTTTTCTCAGAGTTTCAGCACATGCGCGCGGGCAGACAATTTACAATACGCAGTTTGGATACCCAAGGACTGCTTGCGCGTCTAGGTGGTGGCGTTTGGTATGTGTTTTATCTGCGCGCGCCCGTGGGAATTTTGAGCATGTTTTGTTGCAAGGGGTATTTAGAAAGTGAGCATTTCAGGTGAAGCGAATCGCACGCATGTGATTATTTGACGGTGACGAGGGGGGTCGATACGGGTTCGATTGGGATTGAATGAAATCATATGGAAAATGCACGGTGCGGCAGAATCGTATGTAATTTGCGTTGTCCCAGGATGTCTTTATGAGGTTGGGTGGGGGAGGGGGTGGGGTGGGGGGGTGGGTGGGGGGGGGGGGCGAAGTGCATATTTATTTGACAAAGAGAAAACAAGTCGTATCGCAATCGCAGCCAGCCCACCGGGCGCCCGCGGGCGGCCACCGGCGGCGACGGGGGCAAATGTTTTGCAGTGCAGGCCAAGTCTTTAAAAGAGTCGTGCAAGCGTTGCACGGGGAACGTTGGCGGCATGAACTTCGGACGTCCACGCGTTGATTTCTCCGCCCACGGGGGTCCGCCAGCAGTGGCACAGGTATACCAACTGATCGGCCTCCGCCCAGGCGTGCGTTGCAGTGCAGCCGGGGCAGCGGTTCGCGAACTCGGACGGCAGTTTCGCCGTGGAGGTCTCGAGCGCGCTGCCTTACGGAACTTGGGTGGACACCGCAAGGGATGTCAGGATGGAGGGCAGTTTGCTCTTCGCCTCGCTGCAGCGGAGGGACCTCAGCTGGGCGGACACGTTCGTGGCAGTGGAGCAGGAGGGGCAGACGTTCGAGAATGACGACGGCAGCTTCCGCCTCATGGGCCAGGCGTGCGCGGCAATGGGCGAATGCCTCTTCGGCTACATCCTCAAGCCCAACGCCTCGCACCTGTATTGCCTTGGGAAGCTCGGAGACCCAGTCGGCGTGGTGTGCAACAGGACGCTTGACCTCGACCAGTGCTGCAATGAGCGGATGCCCTGCGACAACATAACGACGTGCCCAGCAGGCACCTTGGCGGACCCATACAACTTCTGCGCGGACGTGTTCTGCGATTCTCAGGTCGACAGTGCTTCCTGCTGCATCGCGCAGGACGTGTGCGCAGCGATGCCAGTGCTGTCCTGCGCGTACGAGACTTCCCTGCATTGCTTGCCGACCCGGTGCCTGGACGGTTACACGCTGAGGCTGAATGCAAGTTCGATCGAGTGTGGCTACCAATGCGACGCCAGCGAGCACCGCGACATCTGCTGCGAACCAGCGGAACGTTGCTCTAATCTGACGTCGGTGCAATGCCCCAACGGCTACTACTTAAATGTGGACGCATATTGCGCTGGTGCCACATGTGAGGATAGCAGGGACTTGGGAGTGTGCTGCCAGGAGGCGCTGAGCTGTGAGAATCTGAGCTGCCCTCTGGGCACAGTGGCGTTCAACGCCTCCACTCATTTCTGCGACGGCGTGGACTGCGTGCTTGAACGTGACGTGGACCTGTGTTGCTACGAGGCCATGCCTTGCAGCAATCTCACTTGCCCCCACGGCTTCACCACGGTTTCGGGCACCTTCTGTGCCGACAGTTTCTGCCAAGACGACGTGGACCAAGCCAGTTGCTGCGTGCCAAGAGCTCCGTGCACGGACCTCTTCAACGTAACGAACGTGTCTTGCGAATTTGGCCTCTATTTCAACGAAGCCGACTTCTGCGTCTCGGTGGCCTGTGAGGCGCAGGACGTGAGTCAGTGTTGTCAAGTTGCCGATCCGTGTTCCAGCCTTGCTTGCCCGTTGGGCTATAACTCGCGGAGCGAGACCGTCTATTGCTCTGGCGCGCAGTGCACAGTGGCTGCCGACAGGGACATCTGTTGTGAGTTGGCTGCGCCTTGCAACAGCAGCGCATGCCTGTACGGCTACGTCGTCAGCGATGCAGCTGTTGAAAACGGGAGCACGGTTCTCTTCTGCTCCAGCACTTCTTGCGACCCAGCCGCAGACAATGATCATTGCTGCGAGCCCGCTGAGTTGTGTTCAGGGAATTACGCGTGTCCGCATGGCTACACGTTGAGAACGCCCAGCCGCTACTGCGACGGCGTGACTTGCGATCAGGCCCGCGATCAAAACGTGTGTTGCGAGCCGGCCGCGCCTTGCACCGAGATGGAGTGCGGCCTCAGTTTTATCCACGTGCTCGACTCGTATTGTGCACTTACCACGTGCAATGTGACTTCTGATTTCGGTACGTGCTGCACGCGAGGACTGTCGCTGCAGTACTTCAGATTTAGGCCGACGAAGTTGCGCTCGTCTGTAGACACGGTGGTTCAGATCGCGGACTTCTACCTCTATTTCTCGGAGCAGCTGCTAAGTTACGACGGGGCCGTCGCTTATTCTCCAGATGGTAATTATCCCTCGAACGAGGGGCCTGACAAGGCGATAGACGGCGTCCCAGGCACCAAGTGGCTAGATTTGCAGGCGGGGAGTTTCATCATTAACCTTTCCTCACGGTCGGGCGTGGCAAACTACTCCTTCATGACCGCGAACGACGAGCCGGACCGAGACCCCGTGAGCTGGGTATTCGAGGTCGGGCGACGTCAATTGACTTTCTCACCGATCCTGGTTAGGCCCATCTTGGGCGCAGGATCAGTGTTTGGGCCCTCCTTGCTTGTCCTGACACCGATCCTGGGCCCAAAATGGCCCTGGTCAAGATCGGTGAGGCGGTCAGTTGACGCCGCCCGAAGGGCTCGCTTGACGGCAGCCACTTCGTCACCCTGGACGCCGTGGAGGACGCGGACGCCGAAGTGCCCACCGCGCGCTTCACCGAGACGCCCTTTTACGGCGTCTCCGTGCCATGCGCCGCGCCGGGGGGCATCGCGAACGCGGACATCGCCGCCCACAGCTGCGCGGAGGGCGCCGTGGTCGCGAGCGGTTCCCAGTGCACCGCGCAGTGCTCCAGCGGTTTTATCCCGACAGTGCAGGCGCTCAGCTGTGCGCATGGCCAGCTCACACCAGAGACCTTCGGGTGCAGCTAGCAACGGCGGGCGCGGGCGGCGGGGGCCGCCCGGGGATGCCACGCGAGGGCGCCCCTTGGGCTCGCCAGGCGCCGCCGCGCTGCTCACCAGCGCAACGGGTGTGGCCCTCCAGCGCGCCAGAAACAGCGCGCCTGCTGCAGGTGTGCCACTTCCGCAGGTTTGGCAGGGTGCGGGCGCCGGGTGAGGGAAGGAGAGAGGGAGGGGGAGAGGGAAGGTGGAGAAGGGAGAGGGAAGGGAAGGAAGGGGGGGTGTCGCAGTGGGGCGGTAACACTTTGATTGAATTGTTTGGAAGTCTCGAGCGAGAGCGCCGTTCCTATGTTTCGGGGCCTCTGTGGCCAGGGCGTCCCGGAGTGAATTACGAGCAAGTATCGAGCGAGAACGCCGTCCTGGAGTTTTGGGGCCTATCTGGCCAGGGCGTCTCGGAGTACATGATGAGGAAGTATCGAGCAGGAGCCGCTGTCGTCCTTCAGGGGCTCGGATTTGGACGCACGCCCGCGCCCGAGCGGGAGCGTCGTTTTCAAAGAACATGCAGCCACTGTCGAGACGAGAGGGCCCAGAGCCGTCTCTGGTGGTCAGCAATATGTACCGAATGGCATTCGGACCATGCCGCCATTGTGCCTGGGTTGTAGGTCAGAGTTCTCAGGGATGCTCCTTGGGGGCATATTTGGGCCTGCCTGTGGGGCCGAGGGCTCGAAATGTCAGCTCGATTCGCCCCTCTGGGCCCCCTCTTGGAGCCGTCTTTGGCCCAGAGCAGTCCTTGGGGCATCTTGGGCCGTCTTGGGGCCCTCTTGGGCCGTCGTGGGTCCCTCTTGGAGGCCTTTTGGGCCGATCTGGGGCGCCTATTGGGCCGTCTTGGAGCGTCGGGAAGCCGAAAAGGCGAGAACGCCAACAAAACAAAACGTCCAAGCCAGAGGACAATCAATGATGTTTGTCTCTTGGGGCCCTCTTGGGAGGCCTCTTGGAATCCTCTTGGGGCCTCTTGGGAGACCTCTTGGGCCGTCTGGGGGCCATCTTGAGCGTGCTGGAGCGATCATGAGCCATTTGTAGGCGTCTCGGGGTCCTCTTGGATCCTTTTTGGGGGCCTCTTGGGACCCTCGTTTCCTGTCCTGGGCATTCTTGGGCCCCTACAAGACATGCGGGACCACGCGGGAAGCCATCGACACGACGAGGGAAACCCCGCCAAATTTGGAAATTGGGGGTCCAGGCCCATTCAAGAACCCTGAAGATCGCGGATTGAGGCTCAGAGGATTCGGGAAAGGACCTCAGGACACGCCGACTTTGTGCCCAGAGGCACAGTGGCGGATGACGGGAAGAGCCCTTGGCGTGGACCGTTTGTTGGTGGTAGAAAGTAATGACGGGGCAAGGGGCGCACTTTGGATTCACGCTGGCGGATGACGGGAAGCGCCTCCGGCGTGGACCGTTGGTTCTGGTAACAACATGTTTTTCTCTAACTAATGGACGCGGATTGCATCCGGAACCTCGCTGGCGGATGACGGGAAGCGCCTTCGAGGTACGAGAAGCGAGCTGGACGTTCTGATTGAATCTGCATCATGTTTTAAAATCTCTTACTATATGGGGTGCGGGAGTGCAACAGATTTTTCGTTGGCGGATGACGGCAAGCGCGCATAGACTCGAAGAGTCGCGCGATGGACGTTGCTGCGGGCCCGGAGGGAAATCTCTTACCAAGGGTCTCTAAACACGTGTCCCGCGAATCGGCGGATGACGGGAAGCGCGCTAAGACTCGAAGAGTCGCGCGATGGACGTCTGTTGGCCAGAGGCATTGTTGTAAAGGGGGGGGTCTGGGGGGGAGCGCGCGGCGCCGCCTCGTGGTGCAGGACTTGGCGGATGACGGGAAGCGCGCTTAGACTCGAAGAGTCGCGCGATGGACGTTGCTTCCGGGCCCGGAGGGGAATATTTTATCAAGTGGGGGGGTCCAGGGGGCGTTTCGCCTGAGACATCCTCGAAAAAATGGGATGCCGACAGAGCTCTTGTAAGGCATCTGGTCGGAGCGATCTCGGATGACCCCCAAGATGGCCCAATGAGCGAAAATATTTAGAAACCCATGTGTTTTACATACTTGCGTTGAAAAATCAGCGTTTCGCTCGAGACTTCTTCCCACAATTACCTCTTCCTCCTCCTCTTCCTATTCCTCCTCCTTTTCCTCCTCCTCCTTCTCCTTCTCCTCCTCATCCTCCTCATCCTCCTCCTTCTGTTCTTCTTCCTCCTCTTCCTCCTCCTCATCCTCATCCTCTTCCTCATCTTCCTCCTCCTCCTCCTCGCCTTCTTCCTACTTCTCCTTCCTCCTCCTCCTCGTCCTTCTCCTCGTCGGTCTTCTCCGCTTCCTCTTCCTCCTCTTTCTCCTCCATTTCCTCCTCCTCCTGTTCTTCCTCCTCGCTCGGGACATCCTCCAAACATCGGGATCGCGAAATCGCTCGCCAAATTTTCGGATCCTCGAAAATGGGCGTTTCGCCTGAGACATCCTCGAACAAATGGGATGCCGACAGAGCTCTTGCAAGGCATCTTTTCGGAGCGATTTCGGATGACCCCCAAGATGGCCCAATGAGCGAAAATATTTAGAAACCCATGTGTTTTACGCATTTTCGTTGAAAAATCAGCATTTCGCTCGAGACTTCTTCCCACAATTACCTCTTCCTCCTCCTCCTCTTCCTCCTCCTCCTTTTCCTCCTCCTCCTTCTCCTTCTCTTCCTCCTCCTGCACTGCAAGAAGTGGTGGAAGGCGCCTGTCGAGTCTGCTCCAGCTGACGACAGGAGGACTGCTCGAGGGGACCCAGCAGCACTTCGTCGGACAGCTGCTGGAGTCGTTGCAGGACATGCCGCTGCCGCACCAGCTGAGCCGCCTGCCCCAGTGCAGCCCAGCAAGTCGGACCTCGAGCAGCTTGAGCAGTTGTGTGAGCGCACTGGCAACACCGTTATGTTGCAGCAGGCGCAGAAGGAGCTGGACAAGAGCAAGGCCTCGTCGGTGCCACCACAGGAGGGAGCTGATAACGCGCACAAGGAGATCACTCGGCTGGAGAAGAAGCTGGACAAGGATCTCAAAGTTGTGCACGCTATGGAGCAGAAGCTGTCCAACCTGCGGGGCCAGCTGGAGTTCACGCTGGCCGAGCTGGAGAAGTACGACGGGGAGTACAAGGACGCCATCGCTGAGCTGCACCTGTCGGTCGCGCAGCCTGCCGAGCAGCCTCAGCCAGCTGGCCCGTCCATCAACCTCACTGACATATTGGAGGGACGTCTCACGGGCCTGCAAGTTGATGACGGTGGATTGTTCGGGCTCGAACAGGTTGGTGTTGAAGTTTCCCACCAGGATTTGGAGGTGGCCACCCGCCGCAAGGAGCAGATGGCGGATCATATCAGGTCGTGCTGCACGAAGCTCTTCGGCGACATCAAGCAGCGCGCAGAGGAGCACAAGGCGGCCCACAAGGCCCTGCAGGACCGCCTGCTCGGCAAGAAGCGTAAAACGGACGACGCGGAGGTTGCCGGCACGGCGGCTGCTGGAGCACCTGAGCCTGCCACTGCTGAGCCTAGCACTGCGGCAGCCAGCGCTGGTGGTGGAGCCCCAGCGGCAGCTGACGTCGGCATGCCTGCAGCGGCCAGCCAGCCGCCGCCTTCTCCAGCCAAGTCTGCGGCTGACGTCAGAGCCGCAGCACGAGAATCGGTCCAGCGTGGCGCAGGAGCACCCGTCGTGCCCAAGACGCCCGCTGGCCCACCTGCCAAGCCCAAGTCGCCTGGGCAACAGCGCTGTGACGGACCCCTCCTACCCCATGCCCCCATCCTCTTGCCCAGTTTTGGATGCACCAGCCACAGCTGGACATCATCGGTCGCAAGTCGAATCTTCCTGGGATCAAATGGGTATGGAGTTCGTCACCGCGAATTGCACGACCTGGAACTCTCTCAAGAAGTTATTAGCCCTGACGACGGCGCACGCCGCGCTGTGTTAGGAGCACAAGCTCATCACCTCCGAGGACCGCCGCAAGGCTGAGGCATGGTGTGTCCGAAGTGGTTGGAAAGCACATTTTGAGCCTGGATGCCTGGGGCCTGGAGGAGGCCCGTCCGCGGGCGTTGGGATCCTGGCCCGTGCTTTTCTTGGCTTGCACTACCCTGACTTCGGGCCCTTGGTTGAGAAATCATCGGGCTGTGGGGGCCCTGGTCCACCTCCCTGGCCAGGCCAGCTTCTACGTTGTTAGTGTTTACCTTCCGGACTGCGTTGGTTTGAATGATACCAATAGGGATATCTTGGCTTGTGTGGCGTCTAGGTCGAAAGCTTGGACGTTCCATTTGTCATAGGCGGTGATTTCAACATGGAGCCGTCGATTGTGTGCTCCTCTTTTGTCCCTGCCTGGCTCGGGGCTGAGGTATGCTGCCCTGCAGGTGCGGCGGGTACCTGTCGGTCTACTGGGGTATCAAAATGTACGATTACATGCTAGTTGAGGCGCGAGTGGCGCAAGCGATAGAGAGCGTGAAGATAATCAGCGACTCGGACTTGGCTACCCATGATCACGTCGCCGTGAGACTTCACCCGCAACTCGCCTCCCTCCGTGCCCTCACTTTCAGGAACCCCCCACCCCTTCCCACCCTCCGCCCCCAGGGCCCCGCCCCTGAACCCCCTGGACAGTGGAGTTGTCTCTCCAAGATGGCTTCTCGAGCTCTTGCTGCGGCCGAGAATGGAAGATCGGACCAGACGCAGTTCAACATTGATGTGCTGTATCGGGAATGGGGTATGGTTGCGGAGCAAGAGCTCGAGTCTGTGTTCCAGGTGACCCTGCCTTTTCGAGATAGCAGAGGCCGCCAGCCGCAGCTGCACTGGGTCAGTGTCGTTGACGCGTCAACTTCTATGGTTGGCACTTCCAGCACGTCGAAGGAGGCCGCGCGACCCCGATGGCTCTGCAGCAGGTTCCGACTTTGGCTTCAGCTGTTAGGCCTGGGCAGTCAAACCTCGGAGCGGCAGTGAACGCCCCACTCCTCCCCGCGTTTTGCTCGTAGCAG